CGGATTTATGCGTGTGACGAGAATGGGAACAAGAAACGGGCCGCCGCGACAACCCTGTAGGCAAGCAGGAAGATCAGCAGCCGAGGAGCATGGAGTGTGGTGTGAAAGCAGTGCGAGAAGACGACTTCGGTTGCCTCAGCCAGAGGACTGGACAGCATTAGAACTTTCCATTACGTCTTCTTAAACAGAGAGTCTCGAGGCTTCGATGAAAATAGACCGGCGAGTCCACGCAGGTTATTTAGGAGAAAACTGGCCCAATCCGACTTTCAGCATGGACGAGCGGCCATGGGAACGGGGCACACAGATACCTGGGGGAGCAGATCCAGTCAGATACAGACTCGCCACTGCATGTATATTTGCCTGTGGTTGCGTTACCCCTGGCTGCAGTCTGGCCCATGAAGCGGCCACTGTAGGCATTGATTATATTTCACGTACCAAGTGCTCCATGCTTGGGGAGCATGCCGTCCAACAGTGAGTGCATGGCCATTCCAGGATATTGCAGAGGCGTCGAATTGGATTGGGCCGTTCAAGAGTATCAAAACGACGGTACGCCCCGACTGGGCAGTCCTTGGTGTGGAACCGAAAAGTGCAACGCCTGTAGGGAGGAGTGTCGTGGTATTACAATCTGCAAATGCAACTGCGCCGCCATGTACGGAGAATGTTGCAAAAAGAGCCCTGCAAGCTGCATACAGCATCGTCCTGTAAAAATCGACAAGATGCCCGTTCAGGCCACCATTGGGTGTCGAGCCCTTGCCCTGGCCATGCGATATGGCCTCAGCGCCTGGAGGAGCGCGGCGATGTCTCCATCAAGGCGCCCGGGTTGGTGGGCCTGCCGAAGCCTCAAAACCCCCAGCCCGGTCCCTTGTTTGGATGGCCAGCCGCCTACCGGATCACGTTGGTTTTTGGTACTTGCCGGGGACGTGTCGATGTCTGGTGTACGTATGTATTAGGGAAATCCCTCCCAATCCACGGTATCAGCAACGGTGAGGAGTGGCCCGCCGCATTAGCTTGAGGCGTAGGCTAGCGGTACGGGTCAGGCGAGTTGGGATCTCGAAGCGCCAGACATTCCGGAGGAGATGCATGCCGTGCTAGCACTATTGACCACGAGGTGAGCGACTAGCTCGCGATAGACGGAGAAACCCCAAAGAGAAGCAAGGATGTCATTGAGAACAATTCCCTTGGGAGGGGGTGATAGCTGCAGGCGAAGCAGGGTAAGGCAATTGATAGAACTTAGGGCTGGTCCAAGGTGTGGAAAAGAGGCCATGTTCTTCCCTGGTGGATCGGAGCAGCCGCGGCGGCACTAACAATAGAACCCATGCTGGGCCTGTATTTTGTTGACGGAGTTCTTGAACGACATTGGCTCTGCCGGTGCCCAGAGCTGGGTCCTCGGCGATTGCTTCTTCCTTGGCACTATTGTCGAGAGCAAGAGCCGATGACAGCTACGGGATAGCCTATTATCGTGCATTTGCAATTGATTCGGTTCAAGGACAGGGCCTTTGGTGTCGAGCTTTAGCTGAGTGTTTCGACAGGCCAGTGACAGCCCTTGTTCGTCAGCGGCATGTCTAGGACACGCATCCCCTGCATGTCTCACTTCTAGCCTCCGAGAGGACGATCTGGTGCGCGTGTCTCGCTTTGGACACCAATCTTTTCCACACTGCGGATAATAGCGTCACAAGCCTCCAAGATTTGGCGTCTGCATCTGACGAGGCGGGTTCAGGCCCATAAGGGTTTTTTGGGGACGTCTCGTGAGTAGCCTTGGCCCTGGGGGAAAACAATTGATGATGCCTGCCTCGTCGATGATCTGCTTGGTCTGTCGCATTGAGTTGGATGGGATTGCGAATCGACTCGCATTCTTGGCCAATAGAGGCCGTAGGCAGTCTGATCTGCGACGTCGAGTTTCCACGTAAGTCGTGCTTATGAATTATGATGCAGCTTTGTCGAAGACAGAAGCAAACGAGTTGTACAATGCGTCTATCCTTGGGCGCTCTCCCGTCTTCCGTCGTATTTTGGCTGCAGCAATCCCCGTACTCGGATATGACATTCTGGAAGGTCTCACATATGCCAAACGCCATCCGCTCCTGCCCTGACAAGTGTAGTTGTACCGACAACCCACGTCCCGTTGGCTTCTCTCAGGACGGCGAATTTTCACGATGCTTATTCGCTCAAAATTGCCACTGGTCAGCCAACCAAAGACGTGGCCATGTTTCAAGCTTGCTGATTGGCGACTAAGACCGTCTTTTCCCCCCAATCATCACCTTCTCCATCTTTGACTCGAGTCACTTTGTCCAGCTCCTTCCCGTGTGAAGGTGCTCTAGTACTCTGCACTCCGTACTCCACACTTGATCCCGCCTCTGGCTTGACTGTTGTCTCGACTTTTTGCAACCGGCTCAAGTGGGCGAGTTTGCTTTCAATGTTCAAATGTTGCGTTATGCCCCGCGCCGGGTCGTTACCATTGATTTCTTCAGCATACCTATCTGCGGATGACCCCTTCGGACACCTCTCCAGAGAGGGCCTTGGCCACAGACCACATCTCGCAATGTCACGTTATCACATCAGCTGGCTAGGTCCCCAGTCAATTCGCCATGCCGACATGTGCCGATGTCTGTTTAGCATCCTTGAAAACAAGTCAGGGCATCGACGGAAATAGAGTCACCTAATATTCGACACGGGCATATTCGCCGGTGAGACGAAATGCGAAATGCAGACAGGCATCTCCTGCTAAGCTGAAAGCTGCAGCCCGTAAAGTGGCGATTGATTCATGCGCATGCGCGTCTAATACGACGACAAGACTCTTATTTCGTGGATCCTTTCTGCGAGACCTGCATGTCCCGGGTCGTCAATCGAGTGGCAATAAAGCCCAAGAGGCAGCCTGCAGAGGCGAAGTGATTTGGGACACCTATTTTTTCCCATCGCAGCTTCGCCACCGACGAGATGGAATTGAGGCTCTGACGTGGCACACATATTGTGGCTGAAGCCCCAGAATCTGTCGGTCTAAACTAAGAAAGGCTCACCGTCACTGTGGCTATATCTTGGCATACCCTGCAAAGCGCTTTATGGTCGGCCTCTGCACATCAACGCATGTACCTCAATTCTCAGATCCATGTACTCGGTACTTCCAGGACGACGACAACGCTTCGCCTTGCCCATTTGGACAAACTCGTGGTGTGGGCTGTGAGGCGACTTGACAATGGATGGAGTCGGCGAACGTGTTGTGTGACTGAGTATCCCCTCCTTTGAAGACTGAAGATGAGAAGTTATCCAATCATAAACCAATGAGAAGTAGGGACTGGGTTCTCTTGACACTATTGGTCTACAGCCCGGAAGTCTTTAAACGAGTTGAGTTGACTGATTTGGTGATGAGGGCTACGACGACCGTGAAGGCCTGGCCTTGTTTTGCGGCTTTCCACATCTTGAACTCTTCACGTGCCTCTATTGACCGTCAATTGAGAGGAATAATTGGCTAGATGTCTTCGACACCGGACGCCGACATTATGGCCAGATGCCGCGCGTGGACTCTTGGCACTACAAAACAAGCAGAGCCAAGCGCTTGCCGAGACCTCAATGTTGTCGCTGGCGACAGTGGAAGACCCAAGTCTGAACAAATGCCTGGTGGCATCGAGAAGAAGACCAGCTGCAAAGAGGCGCTGTGGAAAAGCAACTTCGTACGGATACTCATTTACGCCAGTCTTGGCCCTTGGTAAGTGTTTATTGCTAATCAACCTGGTACTCTTAGTATCTCTGTCTATACTGTCAACATAGGAACTACAAAATTGTATTTGCTGGACCAGGCATTGACGATTGGGCTTGAGCCCAAGTCTGGTTGGCTTGGGCCTCTGGTGAGCTTCGTGATTCTCATCACACGCCACGTCCGTCTTGGCGGCTGTCTCACCAACCCCCACGGACCAAATAGACCTGTCGCTGGGGATACGTCGCGCCCATGTTGACAATGGCCGTTTATCGGCGAATAGGTGAGCGGCTGACATGTCCATATCAAGTACTAGAGTGAAGCAAGTGGCAGAATGAGAAGGAAGAAGACGGCGGAATGACGACATGCAGGGACCTTTCTGGTAGACCCAATTTGGAAGCCGCAAAGTAACGGTGCTGAGACCAAGGGTAATATCACGGAGCGGCACGCTGTTCTAGCCTCGCGGCCCTTTCCGTTTTGTGCGAAACAGGCGTTCGATCTGCAAAACAAAGTTTAATGAGATCCAACGTACTCCGTCGTGTCTGGACTCTGGTACCCTCGCGCCAGCTTTGACATCCATCCCTGTACATTCTGTCCCTCGTCGATGCCTTGGGCAGTAATGCCAATGCAACGTGGGGAGTGGCATCGAAAACAAAACCACAATGCCACATGCAATATTAGTACTATGTATTCCCTGCGGTCGCAACCCTTGGCAACAGCCTCCCCCATCTATCTCTGACAATGCCCTGTATCCCCGTTCGGCCGAATATCCCCAGTTGGTGAGCGATGACCGGCGCGGCGTGGGTTCGTAATTATTGCTTTCATGTCCACAGCTGACAGAGTAGGGCGGCTCGTTTCAGCTCATCGACTCGACTATCCTCGATAGATTGACCCTTGGCTCGGAAGAAGGAAACAAAAACGGCAATCTCTCCATTGCCAGGCCGCATGCTGGTGCGTGGGCAATAAATGCAGCCTGCATGACTTGCATATCGCTGTACCACGACGGGATGAACATGGCATCTCTACTTGAACCCGACCTGATTTTGATAACTGATGGCTCTGTATACACAAACAAACAAAAAGAAAAAAGAAAGAAAAGAGCCTGAATGATGCTTGTCATTTTACAGTTCCCCGATCCGACTGCTGCCGTTTATTTTGGTCTCAAATCTCACCACCCCTCAACGCCGTATCCCCCCTCCCCCGGTGTCATTTTCCCGATCGCTAGTCGTACAAAGTAAAATTCTCCGCTCCCATCTCAACCGCATTCCTGGGCCTCTGCAAACTTCATCGACGGGCGGCTTCGGACCGTGGAGGCCTAGGCAGCCGCGAACCTGGCAGCTCTCTTCTCGGCCTTGGTCCTCTCGACGGCGTCGTCCAGCACGGCCCTTTCGCCGCGCTCCTTGTTCCCTCCCTGCCGGGGACCTCTGCCGGGGCGTCCTCTCCCGTCGAGACTCTGACGCTTCGCCGGGCGGTTGTCGCCGTCGCGGCCGCGGCCGCGCTTCAGTCGGCGTTCCGGCAGCGCCGAGTCCAGGCTGGAGGAGAGTTCGTTCTGGTCGAGGCCGAAGCGCTTCGCGCGGTCTGCGCGCCTCTTGGCATCCTCGTCCTCTTCGATGCCGAACCGCTTGGCTCGCTCCGCACGCTTTTTGGCCTCCTCGTCGGCGGCGGTTGACGCGAGACCGATGGCATACGATTGCGCGGGCTCGGCGGGCTCGGCAGCGTCCGTCTTTTCAGCGGCAGCGGCAGCGTCGGCGTCGGCGTCGGCGGGAGCCGGGACCTCCTCCTTGGGGACCTCCTCCTTGGCTGGCTCTTCGGGCTTTGGCTCTGCTGCGGCAGCGGGCTTGGATGCGGCGGGCTCGTCGTCGCTGTAGCTGATTTCGTCCTGCTTGGCGGCTTCTGACGGGGGTTTTGTTAGCAACGCCGCGCTTCTGATGGTGTCCTCCTGGCTCCTTTATAGCCACGGCTATATTCAAGGGGGATACATGAAAAAAAAACTCACCTGGCTTGGCCTCCTCACTACCAGCGGCGGCCTTGTCGTCATCCTCTTGTAGTCGCGCGATTAGCGCTTGCTTGTTTCCTGTCTGCGGGAGCTTTCGCTGGCCCAGTATGGCCTTGAGCTCCGGGACCTTGAGCGCATTATAATCCGTCATGGTGGCGGGTATGTTCTGGCTGTCTTTGCTCGCGGCGTAGTGGGCGGCGCGCACAATCTGTTCTTCTCTCAAACCGTTGAAAAGGGGAGAAAGCGTTCGCAGAGGACGGGGCGGGCGACGGAGCAACAGCGCCGGGTATATATATTTGGTGCAATGAACTGCGAGGCGCGGACAAAAGGGCCGGCTTGTGGGACGGAGCCGGTCCAGGCTTTATGCTGCTGGGCGAAGAAGTGAAGATCCGGGGGACAGGGACTGGACAAACGGCACTTTGATTCGGGAGCAACGGCGACTGTGGAAGGAGTCGGGCGATGAGTGAACTTGGGGTGAGCTTGCGGCGAGCTTGGGCGCGTTCCTGGCGCGTTGTGGCGCAGATGGCTGAGCGGTGTGGTTGGACGAGTAGCTTAGTCAGGCGCGCTAATCCCGTTGCGGTTCAAACTTGCAATGAAGCATTGACCATGAAGGTCAGTCATGGTCCTGGAAACTGTTTGTCACAGACTTGTTCAGACGATGGTCATGCCAAGCTCCTTGTTGCGCCAAGTTGGCTTTGCCTTCTGGCTTGTCCTGTAATTATGGATGTAAGCCGTGTGGAACCAAGACAAATGAAATGAAAACTGATAATAGACTACAGCAGCCTCCTTTTACTTTCACCAAGATGTACGGCGGAGAAGAAAACGTGTCTAGGTTCACTGCTGCGTGGTCACTGGTGACACAAAGGGCTTCTGAGAACAATGTAGAAAGCTATAGAGCCTCGTCATCAATGGATGCGTGTCTTCATTGCCCAAGGATTTTTTCCCGCGCCCGGTTTCGCCCTTTGACCACCATCACCATCACGGCATGTAGATGGTAGTATGTACTTACTGCCGTCTATTTTAGTCCCCTGATAGTTGTAATACCGCAAAGTGTCACACTTTTTAATTGCTGTCCAGGCCATGGCCACAGCTCATCGTCGTATTGATGAAGCTGGTGTCGACGAAAGGATCCATGGGAATAACGGTTTTGCCCACAAGAGCCCCTTGCATGACTCAAAAAAAGAATCATGCCAAGTGCGGGAAAATCCAGCAACTTGTTATTGCCTTTGATTCAGAAGTGTTCACATCCTGTGAAGATGCTTCTCCAGACAGTCGTTATAGCGTTGCGGGAGTTGCGCAAGTTGGAGCAGTTGAAAGCGAGTACACCGGACCGAGCACGTCGACTTGCCAGCCTTACCAGCGCCAGTTGGCATCGGTGTTGGTAATGCAAAAGAATATCCAAGCCGCGTGTTAAACTACCATGAGAAAGTTGCAACTAATCCATGCCAAGTGAAGAGCCCCGGAAGAATAGGCATCCCAGTTCCTGGCTGCTGTCTCGGTCACAGTTGTCTATTCTTTCTTGATTCACAGGTGTATATACCTGCACAGGGTTCAAACTTCAACACTTTACTCGGGTTGCAGGATTTGCTGCAAATACAGTTTGCGATAGTTCTGACCCCATTCGTTTAGGTGACGTACATCAGCGAGATGATTCGCATTCCGGCCTTCAAACCATCAGAATGTACACTGAGGCTGAGGTTCACCATGTAGGAAAGTATTCATGACGATTTGCCCCTTATGCTATGCGGAAATGCCTGCCTAATGGGACAAGTGTTGCAAATCAATTAGCAGACGCTGAATCCAGATGATCCGTAGCAACTCAATAAGAGGCGGTACAGTAAAGGAGAGTTGTGCCCGCCACGCGATTGCCCTTTCGCGCACTTGATGGCCATTTGCAGAGAAGGCCAGTTGCGGTTTCCAAAGTCCATATTGTGGTCGTAAGATTCACAGATATCCGTCTGGTCACAATACGTCTGTTGCTTGGCGCCTTCTCGCTGCCAAGGGCGTGCATTGTCGTCCTCAACCGCAGGATTGTCAGCGAATGGAACATCCAATCACGGCCTGTTGTACACGAATTGAAGTGTCATCTACATATCTTGCCGGGTTTGAAACCATCACGTCCCCTCCTGTACTGCTCTCAATGGACTCCAATGCTTTACAATTGTCGACCAGCCTTAAATGGCTTGGCGAGTCTAAAGACAATTGACGTTTTTAAGACGCCACTCATTACTAATTTAGTAGCATCCAAGTTCTACTAAGTAGTCTGTTTGGTCGCTCAAAAGTCTCAACTACCAGTTGTAAATTATCCCCTTGAGATAGTCATAGATGGACAGATACAGATACTAGTCCAACTTGTACCCCAAATCGCCCCTTTACCAATACTTGACGTATTTTCTCCACGCACCATCCATAAACTATCACTGATCCATAATAAATACTAAATTAAACTTTACTCCTCAACGCATCGGCGTGGTGCAGCATCAAAAGTCAAGCCTCGCCTGCAAGGGCAACGCATCGCAACGTACAACGCCGTTCTTGACTAGATAGCAATGCAAGGACCGTACTTCTTTCCTAACGCGCATTTTCACCACCTCGAAACAATTCGGTCTGTCTGGCCGGCCAAATAAAGCGCCATGGATACCTCAAACTATATTTAAAAAACTCGAGCTCGTCAGCACCAGGCTGTAAGGAGCAGAGCCGAATGAGAAAGGCCATTGTCATGAGCGCGACAAGGTACACCCTATTACTCATAACATTAAACGCATTCTCGTTGTCGTTTACATCGTCTTCGTGTGTCGTCAGCACGTAGCAGCCCCAAAGTAAGCCCAACGCAAGAAAGACGGTGCCGGTAATATTTGCCGCGTGAGCAGCTCGCCGCACATTACGCTCTGCCATGTGACGATTGTTGTCACGGCTGGCGTAATAATTACCGAAGAAGAATTGGCAAACGACGGCAAGCGTTACGGCTTCTCTAACGAGACCCGCGGTTCCGTTGAGCCACCCATCATGCCGTATAAAGTTGTAGTATCCGTGAAGGGGCAAAAGTAGGATGAGGGAGAGATAATATCGACGATGAATGACGTTTTGTTGCTGTGCTTGGTCTGGCACTGGATTGCCCATGTTGCGCGACTTGTGACTCGAATTTTGTCCGGTCAGATATCGAGGAAAGAGGCAGAGGGCCAGTAGTATAGTATGCCGGGAAAAGAAAAATGGCAGTTTTGAAAGTCGGCAATCCACGATCACGATCAGATCCGCCTTCGCTGGCTGATGATGATGAGCCTGGGACCCGCAGAGCGTGGCTGAACTGGATTGAAGATTGCGCCAGGCACGGCAAGATGGAAGAATAGCTTGGCGTCGGCGTGGGTGCTGTGACCTTGATGTTGGCTGCGCGTAGTCAAAAGGCTCCACCCCCTTTGACGTGGCTTAATAATTATACAATTATACACATGCATACAGTCGACTGCATAGAGCAGTACCAGCTTGAGCGTTATACCTTGCACCGAGAACAGGCTGCAAGTCTGCTGTCAAGGCAACATTGAAGGCACTCACCGAAAAGTAAAGCATCTACCATTATACATGTACTGCGTCATCTACCTTTGGTGGTATCAAGTGGAATTTCGTAGCATTGTGGTCTTTTTTATACAGATACCTGCCAGCTCTGAAGCTTTGGTCCTTCATCTAGGAATGGACATGTTGGGGTGGTCGTTTGGCTCTGGCTGTTTGCAAAAAGCTCACCGGAAAATCCTTTCCTTTGAACTAGGTTTACACGAATCGCGGCTCAGGCAATTACAGAAACAGGCCCAAAATTACATCTAGCGTGAGCATTAATGTCACAGGCAGCCAAGGCGTGCAATGTGAGGGACCACGGGAGTGATTAGCGATAAAGGTATAAGACTTGAATAAGTCCTTTATTATAAAAAAGCTAGGTAAAAAAAACTTGAAATAGAATATAAAAGGAAGAAGGCGAGCTAGAAGATGCTGGCTATAGCTGCCTTCAACGTGACTGGGTGCTCCATGGACGCATACTGGCAAACCTGTCTATCAACGGTCCTGATAATCCTAGTCCATCTCATCTATACCTCACAACCGTCGAAAGAGATGTACTCTGGGCAGGTGTCAGTCACCCTGGTTTCGTACACGATGGCGCCTCCCATAACATTACCCCTAGAACCATCCTGAACTGTGTAGAACTGGATTCTAGCGGCTCCGTTGTCGCCGGCCGCTCTGTTGAGTTGGTAACCGAAGCTGCCTTGGGCAATCTCGTCGGGTGTTGACACTGATGTGCCACAGGGTGCATAGCCGGACAGTTTAGCTCCGATATGCGACCCGAGATGGAAGTTTACTCCATACAAACCAGTAAAGTCGCCATTGTGGTTTGCGCACTCCTGGTCTGCCGAGCGCCTCATCTGTACTCCGTGCTCAGAGTCGGGCGGTAGCTGGTTCTGCAATTCGTAGACGGGCTGGTTTGGATCCGCCTGGCCCTGTATCAAGACGGCTGCATATCCTGCTCCGCCCATGACAAACGAGTAACTGGCTTTTACAAGTGCGGCGATGACCTTGTCACCACACTCCTTGCCGGTTGCGGTTCCATCCCTGGTGGCAGCACCGTAGCAGTCACTCCAAACTGCCCCGAGAGCGCCGCCAGCATCCGAGGTGAATGCGATGAACATGGCAAAGCCGCCGGCACGAATGAATTGGTTGGCAGCCAGTGCTTGCTCTTCGCCGCGGCGATCCTGAGCCTGATGGGTTGAATTGGCGAGCTAGCGTAGCAGTCGATCCTCATCAACTTTCTGGCCGTGGTATTTCCATATCTCTCTCATCTTCTCGATGGGTACAAGTCCCGGCGTGATGTTGAACATTCGTTCCACCTCCATGGCCTGCATCTCTAGAGCACTTGGCATGGCAAGAGCTGTGCCGACCTTGCCACGGTTGGCATTCATGACGGCGAGCTCGTCATCGTTGGCCCAGCGCACTGCGGCGGCCGCTGCAGTCGTTGCCACGAGGAGAAGGGAAAGCTTCATAGCTATTCAAGGGGACGTTGTGAAGAAGACTAATAAGCAACGACGCGGGCTCGGGGCGTAAAAGTTGACCGCGGTCAAGTGTTGAGTCCTCCTTGGTGCTTTTTGACCGCATAGCGTGTTTGGGGCATCGCAGCAAATATAAGCCTTCTTGAAAGGAATCAACCTTGGCCGAGTTCTGGGTTGACTGCATGTCGGGTTTCTTGAGTCCTTGACGTTTCGGCCCAACTCTGCGCCAACACCGTTCATCTCCGGCGTATTTCCACCGTCCGGCGTCCACGTAACACTGCCGGACAGCTTCCTCCATTCACATTTCCTCCCTGAGCAATTTCGCCCAGATGAATCCCTGCCTCGGCAAGTTTACCCGAACGATTGCCAAACATTTGTGTGAATGACAAGGCTGGGAATGAGCTTGGCTGCCTCGATATATGGCTAGCTTGCCGGCCATGGCGATATTCAGGACTTGTGCAGATAGGACCAGACTGCCTCGTATCGTCTTGAGCCGTGGGCTGGCCAATTATCTGCGTGTTGGGGAGTGATTGTCGAAATGGACATCATCTATTTGGAGGCATAATTTATGTAAGATGAAACGGGTGCTAGACTTAAATTAGTACTACGTATAGTGCCACATAAAGTTAATTAAAAGGCGCATATTTTTCATAAACCTCCGTCCACCCCGGTTCACGATGTAGCCTTGTACTATTTAGCCAATAGGGGCCGCGTAAATGCCTATCACAAGCTTAATTACTATGTTGTACGTGAAATCTACCCCTTTTTCTTCGTGGAAAATGGCTGTGGGACGTCTGGTACAAAGTGATGTGCCGGGCCGCCTTTACATTACATTGATACTTAGTAGTGGAGCATGTACTGGCCAGGGTCGAAACAGGGACTGGAGGTGAAAGATCCCATTTCGATTCAATGCTCCGAGAATCACACCCTTAGCTATACAGCACAACATGGAGCCAGCGATATCCGCCTCTGTCGCCGTGTTTTCACAGACACGTCTCGGCTTACGGGTCGAATCTAGGAATCTAGGCGTCATTCCATGTCTCTTTCTCTTGTAGAGTCGGCATGACAGGTCAGCAATGAAAACCCGAGACGCAGCAGCCTCCTGCCACATAGACCATTTTCTGACCAGAAAAACATTATTTATTATCCCCAAACCAAGAGTACGCCATCTATTGCTATTACATGAAAAAAATCACCCGCAGGATCTAAAAATCCAGATCTTTCCAACCTGACCATACTCCGTACAAATTTTGCCTCTCCCCCTTTCTCAAACCCGCACAACAGTCACGAAGCTCGTAATTGCGACGCAGTACGCAAGTAAAGCCTCGGCACCGTCCCCGGAAACTCGCCCAACGCCTTAGTCAGCTTCCTAAGGACTATCAACAGCCGGCCGAAGACGTGATCCCGCTCAGGCATCGCCTTGGGAACCCTCCCCGCCGCCTCCAAAAGCCGAGCGTGGTATTCCGAATTCCTCATCTCCTCCGCGGCACCCTCGCTTTCGATATCGCGGACGAGCCCGTCCCGGTGCTCCTCCATGGTGTGCGGAGCGCAAATCATCCTCCAGTCCTCCAGGGGCGCCCAGCTCTCGGGCGCCTGGTCCGCAGGCAAGTCCCCCGGGTCTGCCCACGGCGCGACAACAACCAGCGTGCGCAGGTGCCTGCAGCACTCGCTGACCATTTCCACCATCAGGAGGAGCATCTGCCACCCCACCGGGTTCAAGACGACGTGGTGGGCGCGCTCGAGCTCACGCGGGTACAGGGGAGCGCGCAGGTAGAATACGTGGCAGCCGACGTCGATCCAGGTGTGAAGATTGGCCATGAAGACGGACCTCGATTTGAAGATTTGCTGCGCCTCGCGGCACGAGAGGCTGACGTTTCGGTGGAACACGCCCGTGAGCCGTCTCCTCTCGCGTCGACCGTCGTAGATGTTGCCGGACCAGGAGTCGGAGAGGGCCAGATGCCATATCTCGTGGCGGATTTCCGCGGGGAGCCTCGAGAAGGGCGAGAAGCCTGCTCCGGCGTTGGGTGTCCCCCGGGCGTCGTGAGGAGCCGCCGCTGACATTGTTTGATTGTTTCGACAGAGGGATGCAGCTGGGAGCGTGTGGCGGCGGCCGTGTTGTTGGGAGAGCCATGCCGTATATGACGACCGATGGGCTTTTGAAGACGAGTCTGGCGGAATCGAAATTTGCGGTGTTGCCGAGACGGGGTCCGGGTGCGATGGCTCCTGATGCTTGTTCTGTGGATATGGGGGCCATGGGGCCGACTGCCAGGCCCTTTGCCCTTTTGCCGGGCTTCTAGCCGTGTGGTGGTCATCTCTTGCTGTCAAGGAGAAAAGTTCATATGCCGATATGCCATGTTCCGATAGGCCCCTGCTGCGTCAGGGCCGGAGGAACCCCTGCTCTACGGCTTGGGTTCAAGGACACACCGGAGGATTAGGAGCTCCGAAACGAGACTTCTCTGTTGTTGGAAACTGACGTCAAACTGCGGAGCGGGGAACGGCCGTCGTCTTGCATTAAGGTTAAGTTGTCGATTTGCCATTTTTGAAACCACCTGCTTAGTGCTACTGCTGGCGGCCGTACACACACACCAGTTGATATTGACTATTCACCGAATCACTGGGTGCTCATGTGGGACCACATGTGCAGACTTATGGGTCCAATTCAGGTGTGCATGGCAGGGGGGTCAATTGAAGCCAATAGGAGATAACTACCTTACTTAAGTACCTAGACCACGAGAGGGAGAAGAAGTACCGGACCTAATAACGCGAGACAATCTCAAGACAACAGTCAGCTGCTCAAGAGCCGCTGCTCCGCTGTCATTTGGCCCATTGACGTCAACTTATTGAACAACCAGTTGGCCGCTGACAAATAATAGTCTCGTGTTAGCACATAAGCTGCTGTATACAGCCCCCACAAACTCCCGGCTCTCATCAGGTCACTCATGGCTACACTAGGAGCTGGATTGTACTAATAAAAAGTTTGATCAATACCGTTGACCTTATATAAATGATGCACTCCGTCAGTAGCCCTTCGAGTAAAGCTGCTTTATCAACTCCCGTCCTTTCTTTTAAGCGCTACCATTGATAGAGTCAGTACGTGCAAGCGAATCATCTACTTCAAGAGCCGTCGGTATGCCGGCCATTGCGGCGGCGGCAACTCTGCCAACATGCGCAAAAGACCAGTTGACCTTTGAAGGCGTCGCCGTTTCATGAGACAATACGCCCCCCGCGGCATCACTGGCCGTGCCTACTGTGCATCTACAACATGCTATCCTCTCGCCCCCCGGCAGTTTCGCCGGAATGTGGCGCCCGACTACTACCAGACATTAGAGTCTGGTGCGCTTCATGCCGCCCGGGATCGATATTGCGCCCTAAATGGCCCGGCCACCCTCAAGACCCGCCATAGTGCAGCACCACTGTGATGATCGACGGCCGGGCAAATCTAGCCACATGCAAGTACCGGGCAACTTTACCGTAAGGGCATAGCACCCGCGTGGTCAAGAGATGACCTAACCATAACCTAAGCCCACCGGCATGACGTGGTTGGCCTTGCTGCCCCCGTAGCCACGCCGTAGGGCCGATTGGTTTCATATATCGACACGGATGTAAGCAGAAACCAATATTTCGGCCTTCCCCCCGGAATCTTCTTCTCCACCAGTTGAGCCTCCTCTTGGGACAACGCGCGCAAACCATGCCCGAATTCTTGGGGAAGCGGGAATGCTCGTCGCGCCCCCACTCGTCTGGCAAATTGCGTCCCCTGCAGGAGATGCAAGGTTTGGACATGCAATGCTTTCGTAAGCCGCTGAGTGAGCATTGGCGAAGCCCACGTTGATGTTGATGTGGTTGGTTGCGGTTGGCTCACGCTAGAATAGCCTCGGCTCGCCTGGAGAGTTCCTTGCGAAACTGCCACCAGGAGCAATCGAAAGGCCAACCGCCAAGAGATGCCTCGCCATACGGCATCAAGGAGACGAGTGCGAAGTGATGGACAGTGCACGCCGTCTGCCATGTCTTGATGAGTCTGGTCGCATGCCCCACGCACGACTGGGGAAAGCAGCGCCGAAGCTCCTTCCGTTTTTGCCCCCACTTCTTCCCCTTCTGTGCGGTGGGCTCCCGAAGCCTCCCGCCCTTGACGCCTACGGATGTCGGCAACACCTTCAAGAATCAGCGGGCGCCGCGCCCCCTCGTTGCGACCACGACGGGACATGTTTTTCGAAATGCAACGACTTGTCATTAAAAACAGTCTATCCGGACAGAAGAAGAGCTGAATGAGCTGAATGGCCCGTTTGCCCACTGCGAAGCATCAGTGAGCTGTGGGTGAATGCCTCACTCCCGCAATCATCAGGTCGCGACAATCCCCTCAGCCTCGCGTCGAATATACATCCAGGATGCAGCTGAACCTGGTAGAAGCCACCATTTCCGACCTTCAAACCGCCCTCTCCAGCTCAATCACCGCCACAGAGCTCGTCGCACGCTACCTCCAACGCATAGCAGTCTATGACACGCGGGGGCCAGCACTCAACTCCGTCGTCCACATCAACCCCGGCGTCTTTGAAGAAGCAGCAGCCTCTGACGACAGACGTGCCAATGGTGCTACGGTCGGGTCCCTAGAAGGGATCCCGTACCTTGTCAAAGACGGCTTCAAGTACAAGGGCATGACCGTCTCCGCCGGATCCCCCGCCTTCAAGGACCTGATTTCCAATGAGGATGCTTTCCTGGCGGAGCAACTCAAGGCCGCCGGCGCAATATGCCTAGGAAAGACAAACATGCCGCCCATGGCAGCGGGCGGCATGCAACGGGGATTGTACGGCCGCGCCGAATCCCCCTACAACCCAGAGTACCTCACCGCCGCCTTCTGGTCCGGCTCCTCCAACGGCTCAGCAACCGCCGCAGCCGCCAGTTTCGCAGCCTTCAGCATCGGCACAGAAACAGTATCATCCGGTCGCTCGCCAGCCTCAAACAACGCACTGGTGGCGTACACGCCGTCCCGCGGAATCATCTCATGTCGCGGCGTATGGCCGCTCTACCCAACCTGCGATGTCGTCGTGCCTCATACGAGAACCGTATCAGACATGCTCACCATCTTGGATGTCCTGACACGACCAGATCCCGTCGCAAAGGGCGACTTTTGGCGCGAGCAGCCATTCGTCAAGCTTGCCCCCATCACTGCTATACCGCACTCTACTTGCGCGGATGCCAACGCCCTTCGGGGAAGACGCTTTGCCATTCCCAAAATGTACACTGGTCTACATGACCCGCAGGCTAAACCAACACATGTATCCTCGTCCGTCAAGGATCTCTTTGCCCGCGCAAGGTCAGACATAGAGGCCCTCGGCGGGACGGTCATCGAAACGGATTTTCCCGCAGTAACCAACTACGAAGATGACTCCATCTCCAAGCAACCCAACAACGTGCGCGGCGCGCCAGAGGACTGGAATCAACTCGAGCGCGGCAAAATCATTGCATACACATGGGACGACTTTCTCATGGCCAACAACGACCCCAACCTCCGTACTCTATCCGCCGTAGACGGACATAAGATATTCCCAAAACCCCCAGGTTACCTACCGGATAAATTCATCGAGACGAAAAACGCACTTTCCTACCCTGGTCTTATAGACCTTGTCAAAACCGGCAGAACATCCGTCTTTGACATTCCCGGCATGGGACAAGCACTTCGGGCGCTCGAGGATCAGCGGAAACGCGACTTGGAGGATTGGCTGGACCAACATGAAATCGATGCGGTGGTATTTCCCGCAAACGGAGGGATAGCAAGGGCTGATCTGGAAGAGAATGAGGAGAGTGCCAGATTTGCGCACTTGAATGGTGTCAAGTACTCCAACGGGAATAGGGCGCTGCGACACTTGGGCATACCGACTGTGAGCGTGACCATGGGGGTGATGGAGGATACAGGTGTCCCTGTGAGTCTGAGCTTCGCCGGAAGGGCCTATGCGGATGGGGACTTGTTGCGGTATGCGTATGCGTTTGAGCAGGCGACGAGGAGAAGGGTTGCACCGAACATGACGCCGACTTTGTCGTCTGATGTTATCCAGACGGAGCTCCTGTCGGCGGCGCCATCGGCGGCAGAGAAAGGGAGACGGGTTGGAGTCAACGTCGAGGGTGAGAGGATGGAGATATCTCCCGGGACATATGAGCTGCAGATTAGGGTTGATGTTGATGCAGAAACCGACGAGGTGGATCTACAGGTCTTTGTGGATGGAAAACAAATCGACTCGGAGCTATTGCAAAGAAGAGGAACGGGAAACAGGAAATGGGTTGCAAGTTTGACACAGACACCCGTCATTGAGGGCCGGCCGCAGGGCAAGGATGCGATGATTCTTGCACATCAGACTTTGGTCATGGTTCTCGCGAGGTGCAAGGGGGCTGTGTCAGGCTCCCATGTGTTGCTGCGGTAGAGGGTGGATAGTTCAGCCATCAGCGTGTATACAGTACACAAAATATATTGCACGCCGGGCCATGGATGAAGGTATGGGTTCAAGGTGTAAACCGAGGCTTGAAGTCGAAAAGTCAAGTCCGTGTCCCCAAATCCGTCGGTTTGTGGAGCAGGCCGAGCTACCCGCCAGCTAGCTGCTTGGGGCAACATTGAACCTTGATCTAGAGGCTGACAGCCTGACTGGAGTCACTGGACCCTCCAGATCAATTAATCCGTCCATGTCCAGATATCCATTGACTCCACACCTCGTCCAGCAGCACTCATCCGCCCCCTTGTCATCGCATTGCCATCACCACATTGCCATCTTGTCACACATCATCTTCCGACGGAAACCGCATCAGTCGCACGCGGCATGTCCTAGTCTGCGCTCGAAAAATGCAACCACAATCGACGCAACCACAACTATAAACTCCGGATTGTACTCCGTCTAGCCTTGAACAGACCAACATCATCGCTGCTGGCGTCCTCGCCAGCCTCGACGCCGTAGACAACTTCACGGCTCACTGGGCTGCACTTCCGTCATGATGACACGAAGAATAGTACACTACACCCCTTGGTCGCTTCCTGCATCCTGCTTCCATGACCACAGCTTCTCGTTACGGCCAATGCTAACCCGCTCCTCCCCAGGTCCGCACCCTCACACAGCTCGGCGCCGCGCTGGCATTCACCTTGATCGTCGTCTTCTTCCTCGACAGAAACTACCGTGTCCTGCCTAATGCCATCCACGGGTATATGCCCACCCATCACGCGGGCCTCGTTGTTACCGACGTAACCCTCGTGCAATGCTCGAGCCTAAACCTCTTTTCATCATGCGACCTCGACCCGACAACATGGCATCGCATCGACAAGGAACTCTACCTCGGACGGGCGTGGACGTCAACAGCCTACCTCTACATCAGCCGCAAGCACGAAGAGGACCTAACATCTGACGACAAAGTCATCATGGACATATCCGTCGGACGCTTAAACCCAGCACAAGCGCAAGACGCCAAGTCCCCGAAAGGCAACCCAGAAGACTGGGAATCCCGGCCAGGCGGCCTATGGATCAAGCGATCCGGCAGCAAAAAGTCCAGCGACTCCGACGACGTCATCACCGACCTCGACGTCCTCTTCGGCGACGATGCTGTCGAAGCGCGTGATGGCTGGGCAATAACGGGAACCCAATTGCTGCTCGACACCGGCGGCCCGCTTCTGAGCATCCACCTCACCGTCCGCCGCGGCGCGCCCAAGGAGCGCAAGAAGCCCGAGCCCAGAATCGGACACAATGGTAAATTCAAAATCATGCAAATCGGCGACCTTCACCTGAGCAACGGCGTGGGTGAATGCCGCGAACCAGTGCCCGACGGCTACGCAGGTGGAAAATGCGAAGCAGATCCGCGAACCCTCGACTTTGTCAACAAGATGCTCGACGAAGAAAAGCCCGACTTTGTAGTCCTCAGCGGCGACCAAGTCAACGGTGACACGGCACCCGACGCACCGACCGTAAAGCTCCCATATTCTCTGGATTCAAATAGACTTTTGAAAGCTAACTCGTACCACAGGCCATGTTCAAGATTATATCCCTCCTAGTCAAGCGCAAGATCCCCTACGCCGGCATATTCGGCAACCACGACGACGAAAAGACCATGTCGCGCGCCCGCCAGATGGCCCTCATGGAATCGCTGCCCTTCTCCCTCTCCCGCGCCGGGCCAGCCGACATCGACGGCATAGGAAACTACTACGTCGAGATCCTGGCGCGCAGCGGCCAACACTCGGCCGTAACAATGTACCTCATGGACACGCACGCATACTCGCCAGACGAGCGCAAATACCCCGGCTACGACTGGCTCAAACAAAACCAGATCGAGTGGTTCCGCAAAACCGCCGCCAGCCTTAAGAAGGCTCACTCGGAATACAGCCACACCCACATGGACATTGCCTTCGTCCACATCCCGCTCACGGAATACGCGAGCCCCGAGCTCCCCCGCGTGGGAGAGTGGAAAGAAGGCGTCACGGCACCAGTATACAACTCGGGGTTCCGCGACGCCCTCGTTGAGCAGGGCGTCCTCATGGTCAGCGCAGGACAGTAAGTCTCCCTCACTCGCCCTCCATCCCCTCGCCGGCCCCAGCTAACATCGTCTCCAGCGACCACTGCAACGACTACTGCCTCCTCTCCCTCCAAAACGTCACCAGGCACGACGCAAAGCCCCAACCAGACCAGCAGCCGCCGCCGCAGATCCAGAAACCCGCCCTGTGGATGTGCTACGCCGGCGGCGTCGGGTTCGGCGGGTACGCCGGTTACGGCGGGTACGTGCGGCGCCTGCGCGTCTTCGAAATCGACACCAACGTAGCGAGCATCACTACCTGGAAGCGCGTCGAGCACGGCAACACCGCCGACAAGATCGACTGGCAGGTCATTGTGGACGGGGGCAGGCCCGTGCCGCCGCCGCCGCCGCCCCCCGCTCCGTCCGACCAGCCGCCTGCCCCGCCGCCCCCGCCGCCCGTGCAGGACGTCCATGAGTAAAGGATAATGGTTCAATGCTTCTCATGGGATTCCTCAGGCCACGGGCGGTCTTTGACACGGGGAAAGGGGGCACATGCATCACTGGAGATTATTGCTACTTTGGGTGAACTTGGGAAGGGGGTCATATATACACCGGGCCTTGATACGTGCAACAAGCGACTTGATTTCTTGCATATACGGCGTTGTGACAATATTCATTGGGGGTCGGCGAGAAGATCCAAAAGAGAAAAAGAAAAAATGATACGGCTTGTATGATAGCAAACACAGGGAACTGGGTCAGGCGGCAGCATTAGGATAGGAACTCAACACACATGTATTTTGCTTTGGCTTTGAAACGACGAAAAAAAAAAAAAGCAGGCTAGGGTATATGGCTAAACGACATGAGTTGTCAGGAACAAAAAAAAAACAAAAAGAGCACCAGGAACCGCTGTGATATCCATCTTGTTTCCTGCCGCCGACCATTCATACCGTCCCCCTTCTACGACACTCTCTCGATAGGGCTTCCAGCTTTTCTAACCGCTCCTTACTGTTTTCGTCAAAGAATGTCTCGTACTCATACATGTCTTCCAACTTCCTCCACGTAGAATCAATCTTATCTTCCGAATACATTTGTCTAGCAGACTTTTTAATGGTCAAAACATCCAGGTATAACTTTTCCGCTTCTTCAAAGGCTTGTCGACAGCTGACTTCTCTCGCTATGGCGTCCTCCTTCATTTTGATGGATTTGGTCTTTTTGCGCTTCAGGATGGATGTTGTGCGGGAGGTAGCAGGTCGAGGTGGCAGACTCTGAGCGAGGGAGTTTCCGTGGCGACGGCACGAGATTGCCATGTCTTCCAGTGTGGCGGTATAGGAAGGATGTCCCTTACCAAGGGTAGGAGCGATAATGTCGAGTGCCTGTTGGTACTTGACTTTGGCGTCGGCGTAGCGACCGCGAAGATAGTCAATCAGCCCGAGTTTCCGTATAGCATACGCCGTCTGGGGATGATGTGGCCCAAGAGCACGTGTCTGGATATCGATTGATTGTTTGTATAGGTTTTCGGCCTCGTCAATGGCCTTGCTTTCCATAAGGCTGTTGGCCAGATCGTCAAGCGCGTCGAGAGTCATGCGGTCGCCATGGCCGTATATATTTTGATATGAAATGTACACTCGACTGTACAGAGCCTTTGCCACGTCGTGTTTGCCCCTTTGTTCGAAGTTTGCCGCTAGTTTTTGAATGGTGCTCACGGTGGTGACATCAAGTGGGCCAAGGGCCTCCTCTTGCTCAAGCTCAAGCGTTTGGTACTGGTGTTTTGCGTCTTCTAGTTCGCCCAAAGCAGCAGTGGCAGATGCACGTGCCAGTGCAACTTTGAATCCTAAATCTTGGTCGGCCGAGGCAATGTCAATGCCTGCGAGTACCTCACTGCTCCTTGTATGCCGCCCCGTCTCCTGCAACAGAGACGATAGGCACAAGGCGACCTGTATGCGTTCTTCGGCATCCATTCGATTAGGCTGCCGTCGTAGAGATGATGCGAAGCACCCGATAGCTTGGTCAATATCGCCTTGTGTCATGCACACTTGACCGAGAACATGCCAGGCGACATCAACCTCATCTGATGACGCCTGCAGCACGTCAGCCCAGTCATCAAAACATGTCTTCGCGTGAGGTCCCATAATTCTGCCAAAGTCGTGGATTTCCTGTACTGTGGTTGACTGCGCGGCCTTATTCTTGATTCCATCGACACAAACGTTACACGCCATCCAGGCGTTGTCAACTTTTTCTTCGTCTGAGAGCATCCCGCGAACGTATTCTCGTGCTTCTGGGTCAACGACAAAAGCATCGAAATATGCCGATGTTTGTGAAGAAGACAGAGAAGAGGGAGATGAAGGGACCAGCGACGAGGCTGTATCGGAAGGGGAACTCGGCGTTTTAATGAAGTTTTGGTCCAGTAGGTATTGTAGTACATCATCCAGCTGGCCAGAGTCTTGGAAGGCTGAAAATAAAGTTAGATTATACATCGGTCTCTAATATACGCAGGCACAACATACCTCTTATTTCTCCAAGAATAGGTCTTAGTCGCTCGGGGGCTTCATCTAACTGCGACGTGGCGCTAAACAGAGCCACGGGTATCACAGACGTGGAGAGCATGGCGCTGATCTGCAAGACTGTCTTTGTCAAAGGAGACTGGTGAAGGGACGATCCAAGCAGAGTCATGGACGTTGATGCCTGAAGCATGGCATGGTACTCCAAGATGCTCATGCCTTTATTTCGTATGGTAGCCGCCGCCGTGGCTATACTTTGAGGGTGGTACGAAAGCTGCTCAACGACCGTGAGCGCTGCCGCCGCTTGTATACGTCAGTTTGGACCCATTCGTAGAAATCTATACGCAAATTCTCACCTTCAGCAGGATCCTGCGCCGCATTGTTCCCAACAATGGCATCCAATAGACGCACGGCTTCCTCTTCTTCCATGGCGCCAACTTGCAATTCAGTGCTCCAGTCGCAACAGTTTTTGTACCGAGATGTCAATATAATTTTCCCAGACAACGTAACAGGGATAAAATCAAAAACATCGTGTGAAGGCCCCACGTTGTCGAAAACGAGCAGCCATCCGGTGTTTTCTGGGCGAAGCAGCCAATCTTTGACGGAATCCACAACTGATTTGACGCGAGATTTGTCTAGTTGCATGATGCTTTTCACCTTCAACATATCCTCGACACCAGCAAATCCTAAATCATCTTCAACTTGACTTCTGGGTATCTCTTTGGCGTAGTGCTCAACAATTGTGTTTGCAAACTCAAGATAGCTGGCTGCGACAGTTTCCCAGCTCTCCGACCTGAACCAAAAGACGAAGGATAGCTTATCGCAGTTGATTTCCGCGTAATGTCTAGCCAGGGCAGATTTACCGGTACCTGCCAAGCCCCAAAGGTTGACTATTCCGAGCTTCAGATTCATTGGATTCACATCGGAGCTCAGCATGTGGTCCAGACGGTCAAGAAGATCCTGGCGAGGGATCACAGTATTTGGTTCGCCAGGAAGTCGGTACGGGATTGAGTACCCTTGTGCGGGATATTCGAGGCGGTGCACTACACAAGTCAGCAACTTTGTGTGATGTCTTGGCACAAAACGAAGCAAACTTCGCTCACCTGCAGTAGCATCAAAAGCCCTCTGCTTTGATTTAAGCAACCCAGAGGTTGCGCTCTTATCCACCATGTCACGGAAGTTGTTAATAAAGACCTGATAGTTGTCATCCCGGCCATGGAACCTGACCAGGTCCGAATGGGTGGCCTTGAGCCCAATCTGCACCCCATCCGAGCCGGCCATGGAAAACCGTTGCTCAACAACAAAGCCGTCCTGCGTCTTCTCAGTCTCGTAGAACGACAACCTAAGCAGATTGTCAGCAATGGCTTTGAAGGCTTCCATCTCGTAATTGAGCCACTCAATATTGTCAGCCAGACGTTGCTGTGGCAAGCACTCCGTGTCGGCCCGTGACGTGTCCAAGTCGGTCAGATTCGATGTGGTCCTCCTAATAACCTGTACCAGCGGCAAAGGCGAGGACGGCCGCCGAGGAGACAAGGTTCCAAGGAAGGCGACGCCGCAGGTAGAGAGTTCAATGTCCCTCAGCTGCATGTCTGCAGCCTCGCTCGAATGAATCAGCGCCCGCTTCACAATCCACCCGCCCAGGCTGTGTGCGATGAAGAATAGAGGCCGGCGGCTCGCCTTATCCCCCTGGCGCTTACGCGCAAGCTGGTTGGCCAGTTTGACCGCCCAGCCATGGACGAGGTCGCCAACGAGGAAGCCGTAGCTCCTGCCATCGGAGATGTAGCCATACGTCATGATACGGGCATTGGGTATATCTGCGCCGAGAAGTTCCTTCAGCCAGGGTTTGGGCTTGCCGCCTTTGGAGTCCGAGGTAACCCATGAGCTGAAGCCCTGTCCTCCAAGGCCGTGAACGGCAACGATGCTGGTGTCTACATGTCAGCCGACTGTCGTCAAATGTGGTCGCCTGGGTACGGCTTACTCTATCTTGGCATCTTCAGGATCGCAAAGTACCTGCAAGCCAATGGTCTCTCCGGTTCTGCGTCTAGACAAAGATCGTCGAAATTGATGGAGTTTATTGTTCAGTGGCTCCATCGTGGATGTGAATTAATGCGTGTCGGTTGGTGGAATGTGGTGTGGGACAATGAAGTTTAAAAGCCAAATCAAGTGAAGAGGCAGGAAGAAGAAAAGAAGATGGAAAAGAATTTTTCAAACAGGAAAGAAAGAAAATTGCACAAGCAGCAGTCGCTAAAGAGATATCAGCTGCGCAAAAAAACAAACTGAGCAGGCGGATTCGGATTACTGATGCAACAGGTTGGGGTTGAGGAAGCATGTCTTTGTTCGAGGGAAACACAAAGGAGCCTGTGGACAGGGAAGTCGTGGCAGCCAGGTTTATTATCAATCGAGAGACGAACTTGCGGTGGCGCTGCACACGCAGCATCAGTACGTCGGCTTTGGCGCGTTTTGGGAGGCACCGGCACCAGACTGCCCTGTGCAGCCACCAGCTTGGGCATGCCCAGCATCATGGACGGCTGGGCGCTAGGCTGCCATCCGCCTCCACTACAGACCGCTAGAGACCACTAGAGACGGCACTAAGCCTCCCGAGTCTGGACACAGCGCTTGAACATACCGAGTTCAACCTAGTTGGTGTCTGGTGCGCCAGATGGGCGGATCGACCTTTGACGTGTCCACTGCTGCTAATGTGCTGGGCGTGTCAGGCGCCAGCTCCCGAATGGTGCAAGCGGCCGCGGCTGTGAACTTGGAAAGCAGCTGGCACTTCATTCGACGCCGACTTGGGATCGTGGCTGCATCCGGCCAGACATGACCAGACCAGACTTGACATGACCCGACCCGACCTGACCCAACACTTGCGAGGCCTGGTGGCCAGGCCGAAGCAGCCAAACAAGGTATTGCTTCATGTTGGCTTTGATGGCGTCTGGTCAGTTTGTTGGTCCTTGGCGAGTCGGTTACCACTTACCAACTTGCCAGGGCACGTTTGTAGCTTTGTACGCGGGCAATTCAGGATTTGTCCATGATCCGAACATGTCTGGTGTAACCGGGTCCATCATCCATCATACATGCAGTCTGGGCCAGCACCAGGTGAGCAAAGTCGACCAAGTCTTCACGTAGCCGACGCGCAGTGATAGTTATATACGGTTACGTCACCTGATACTCCATGTCCATAATCTTTATTTATTCAGCAACCGCCCCCGAGTCTTGCTATGCCGTATTGTACAAACAAACGCTTGACCATGTAATTCCCTGTAAAAGTAAGATCCTGCTTCGCTGACGGAACACAACAGCTCCGTTGTAACGCAGGAAAAAAACGCCATGTGGTATCATATGCCGAATACAAAGCAAAGGAGCAAAGGGGCGCAGTGTGCTCCCTCTTCCATCCGTCATCCCATCATTTGTCACTTGTCACTTGTCACCCCTCAGCTGCCATTTACACACTGTGGTTGCAACCAACAACTGGATCAATGCCCAGCTCCTCCGCTATTGCATCCAACATCTGGCTTCTTTCATTCTCCTCCTGTGCCAGTCTTTCCTTCTCCTCGCGCACGGCTCGCATCTCTGCTGTCTCTTCTCCCGGCGTTTCCTTATCATTCTTACCCAGGAATGGACCAACAGTCCCCTCAACGGGCTCTTCCACCAACTCTGGCCAGTAGTCGTGCCTGTCCTTGATGGCTACGCCATGCTTGGGGCCCTGGAAGAAACGACGCAGCTTTGCACGAATGCCATTCACCTTTTCGAGCTCAATCTTGCGGTATCCCATAAACACGATGGACTCGCCCTCATAACTCACCGAGTGTCCCTTCTCACGGATGACACTAAACTTGGCACCAGCGCCAACCTTGATGCCCGTGCTGGGGTCAACGGGGACTTGGGCCGTCACACCGACAGCGCTGCCGGTGCCATGAGTCTTGGTCTCTTCGAGGTTCACCAGCGTGACAATGTCGGAAACAAAGTATCCAACGCCATGGTTGCTCAGGAGCAGCCCCATCAACTCATCAAAGTACTGCGTGTTGCGAAGCAGGTCCTTGAATTTTTCCCCGGGTGAGTCCATGTGCCAGACGCGAGCGACAGTTGCCACGTTTTCGTTGCTGCTTTCCTTGGCGCGAGCGACGAAAGCGTTGATCATATCTTGGACCGTCGTTTTCAAAGACGCATCGTGAATATTCTTCTCCCAGAACCGCACATTATATACCTGCACTGGCTTGGGGTCCAAATCGGCGACAAGGTCCTTAGGCAACTCAGAAGCTCGGTAGGGGATACGACGTTCGGTCGGGAGGTCTGGGTATTTGATGACGCTGCCCATCAGCTTTTCCCGGTACTCAGCAGCGTCGAGGCGAGGGCAGACAAGCCAGAGAGGCTTTTTGTTGGTGTGCATGATTTCGTTCTTTCTGTTTTTTTTTTTTTGTTTTTTTTTGGTAGTCTCTGTGGATATGGCTGAGCCTATGGTTGTAGTTGTGGTTGTAAGTAGATTAATGTGCTAGATTCTGAAAGACAAAAGATGAATAGCGATGCGCTCTTGAAGGAGTTGAGATTTCTTAAATTTTGTTTGTCAGGTACTTTCCTGAGAAGCAGAGCACTACAGCTGTTCAGGCGACCTTCTGACGTTATGCCGTCACACCCCTGGCACCCCAGACGGCCTTGCGTGTGGCAGGTGCGGGAGGCAACCCACTTGCCCAAGCAAGCAACCAGCCGAGGCGCATCCTGGGCATCCTTGTCAAGGAAAGTGAGTGGCTGGAAGCAGGTACCTGACTTTTGCAGGTTGTACTAGGGTACACGGAGGTACATACTACATACGTACGCTGAGATATACATACTCCGTCCTTTTTCATAGCAACTGCTTTATGCCACAAGCTGCACTCCGTACAGAGTAGTGCCGCCATGAAATGTGGCTGAGCTCAGCGTCACTTTCAGCAGGTGGCAGGTAAACAGTGTTCAGGTCCGCGGTGAGGGTCTGGTGATTTTCGGCAGCGTCATCTGATGCACAAATTTTAGAAGAGTCACATCTCTAGCCCCAACAGTTACTCCGTACATATGTAGTTTAGCCTTGTTGAACAGCAGAGAAACCGCCTAGAACAAGTGTCTAACAAAGCCTGGTGACTCAAGTATGGAGCAATCTTGTGGCGCAGCACGTGGCGAATTCGTCGCCGAAAAGGCGCTAGTCTCATCTGGGCCCTCAAGTGAATCAACACCAGAGGAACGTTCATGTCATGCCGAGTTCATCTCAATTTCAATTTCATTCGCCAACCGCCATCGGATTGAATGCAGGGGCCTGGTCAACTGGTTGAACCAACTCGAAATTGACGGGGTGAGCGGAGCGGCTCCACGATACGCCTCGAGGCCAGTGTACTCCGTAGAGGCCATGGACTGACGACAGGAACTGGCCGCAACACTTCGCGTACAATACTGCGCTCAGAGTACTCCATAACTGCGTACGTATCACGGAATCACTTATAATGCTGTGTACATCTTCGTCTCGGGTTTTCCTAGAGCTTAACAGTTTGACTACGGACAAAAATCCCGTGGATATGCTCCGTACTCTGTCAAGCAACGCCATCTCGCCCAACCACCGTTTTACCGTCCATCGGCCGGCATTGTAACACCATGTTTTGATTTCCTTGGCACATAATGAGGTAGCACACCCTCACTGATTACCAGCATCCGCCTAGTTGTACAAATTGCCATTGGTTTCTGTGCTACTCTGCCCCTCGATGCGACCATGGCACATGGCAGGCAGACGGCCCAACCTTCAGTCAACATGCCGCACGGGCGGAACTTGCTTTTGCTGCCCGTCTTCCCTGACGGCTCCCTCTTTTCCCTCAGTTCTGTCAGTCTTCTTCGACATCATGTTTTAGTAATCGAGGGTAAAGGGGACACATCATGTCGAATCTGTTTTCGGGACTGTAAGTAGTTTTGCTTAGTCTCCCCCTGGGCTTCCGTACAAACTACCGTCGGTGACTAATACAAGACAGCAACGCTCGCATGCGAGCTGCACCAAGAATAGAGCATGCGAACCCCATCATCCCTAGCGATGAACCCATCCTCGGCGGACTCAGGCCATCGAATTCGGCGCCGAGGGTCTCACTCCCGCAGTCTCCGTCACTGAGTGAGTCGATGCGCATCACGCCGCCGACCATCGACTGGCCTCGACCATTGCCATTGTGGCTGAATCCTGCGTACTCCAAGCATATTGTTAAGGGGAACTTGATGACACTGAGTGCGCGGCCAAAGACCGTCGAACATGGAGAGTGGATAGCACATCAAGGTACATTAGTTATACTGCAATTTACGGCAGGACATGGGCATGAATGGGCGAACTAACAAAGGCAAGTGGTTGAGCATTACCGCATTCTGTGGAATTTCGTTCGAGTCGTCCACGAGAAAGAGGACAACGGCAAAGCTATTTGCAACAAGTCAAGCTGTCCCCAGATGTCAGCCGGAACGTAAGAATCCGTTCCTCCCAAGACCCCCATATCACACCGCGCTTTTCCCTTGGCTAAAACACGGTCCAGGAACCGGTCATATACCTGGCTCAACAAGAACCACGAGCCCGTGGATCTCCCCGCCAACGAATACATGACCCTCATGCAACGATGGATCTCGGGGAAAATTGACGATAGCTCCATGTTTCCTACCGACCCGGACGGTGTTTCTTTTGCCCTTCACCAGGAATACTCTGCCCCGACGGCATCACACCTCTTCCACCAAGATCCCGTCGAAGAGTGGCCGGGTAGCCGAAGTGGATTCCCAAAACACTTTTCCAGCACCGCGCAGCTCATCTTTCGCCAAATCTTTCGCGTGTACGCTCACTTATACTGGAACCATTTCGTCGATTCATTCTACCACTTCAACCTGGAGAAGCAGCTAAATAGCTGCTTCAGCCACTTCATTCTTACGGCGACTACGCTTGACATGCTGCGGCCCGAAGAGCTGGAGCCGATGCAGTACCTTATTGATCTTTGGACGGCCGACGGGACCTTTCCGCTGGGCTCAAAGCCGTACTTGTATGCAAATGTGGAGAGGGGGAAGTATATATCGTCTTTGGGTCGTAGGGTGTAAGTAGAGTGTCCTTGTGATTTGGTACTGTTGGAAGCAGCAGAAGATATGGAGTATATGGGTAAAAGTTGGTCAAGCGTTCAAACCAAACGTAGGGTAATTTCGTATGCCAAATAAATGTGTTGAATTGATTGATGGACTTGGTAGAATTGCCCGGAGCTCTGCGCGTCTTACTCATACTTATACATTGTAGTATTAATAGGAGAAAGATCTCATATATCGTGTAGACGTATTAGTTTCAGCTTGCCTAGTCTATAATGAAGTGCAATACTTCCAATATCCTTGATTTTGGAGCCCAGGGTCACGTATTATACTCTACATCAAAGCTAGACATCGCCTCAAGCGCCTTTCTAGCTTCTCCATCCTCCATCGCACACTTTTGCGAGCTATCTGAAATAACCATACTTGTTTCATGCAAGAAATTTCCCATACATCTGTTTTATCACACATGGCTTACACATATCTCTTCTTCTCAAATTAACGGACATTGTGCTCGGTAAGCATGACCAAAAAATCGTCTTAACTTCACTTACCCGTAGCCACGTTCTGTGCCTTGGACGCTTTGCTGCGTCCAAGGCTTCATCTCTCTCATCCCACATATTATCTCTAGGAAATGAATGATTTCAATGGATGTTGATTCGCGAGCCGAACAGCAATCAGATGTTTTCTTCCAGGTATAGTTACGAAACCCACCAGAGAATCCTCCAGAGCAGCTTGCCGCCAAACTTGCTTCATAAAAACGATAGAGACACGGCAAACGTGATTCATAGGTATATTTCAAAAAGGGAAGTGCATGTTGATACTTTGGAGTGCACTCCACAGAGTCTTGCGTCTGGTCATGGCGGAGGTATTGGCGCAGCTCACCCAGACTACTTGAGCAGCTATGAATTTATCAATCTTTTTGTACGCTACATATTCCATGACTTGATCTTGCGAGTTTCACAGCACAGGCCGGATATCAACTGCAACTAGTTCAGACAACGTTGTGTCATGCATGAGGCTCTCAGGCTTACACAACACCAAAACAGAGAGTGTTTCATCAAGCTACCGAGTCTTCTTATCAGTACGCCTTTATTGTCCCAGATATCCTCTCATTCCTGGCTAACACTAGCGATACGAACGTTTGCTTCTCAAGGAGCTAACAGATGGGGGCAGCAAAAAGGCCAGACATGCAGGACAATTCTGGTAAGAGGAGTTCTTTATGTCAACAATATGAGTTGCATCGGAGCTTTTACTCGTCTCTATCGTCCTCGGCAAGCTTTTATGTACTATTATTAGCCCTCCCACTGCTGGAACAGTCCGCAGGTCTCGTGCAGGACGGGTCAATCATGCCCATCATTCCTGTCACATCAAAGCATTTTCATCGGAGCACAAAACCCGTCGTATGAGCCCAGCGGTCAGGCTAACTTTAATGCAGGCTACGGCGGACATTTAAACGAACCGGACACGATTGTTCACAAGGCACTCCGCGATAGTCTATCCTGGCCATCATTGGTTGCGCATCGCATTCACACTGCAATGAGCTCTCATAGAACCGTGGTCGGCGACGGCGAGATCAGAAAGACCGCTACTCGAAGAAAGGAGCCTTCTGCGTGCCAGCTGAGAGACGAGACAAGCTCGGTGGAATAAGAAGCCCATTGGGCTCACATGCCCCTTGGAATGCTGCTGGTATCTACTATAAGCTCAGCCTTCCGTCTTGTGATCCCCGCAAATGCGGGAGAAGCATCCAATGCACTAGACCGAATTGAGGAATAAACAAAAAAAATAAGCAATTGACCAAGACGCTAGCTTAACTTTAGTAGTAGTAATAGCAAAAGTCAAAAAAAAGATTGTCCTCAGCGAGACTCGAACTCGCGACCTTTGGATGGCCCAGATATTTCATCTGATCATAAACAAGGGATTATGAGACCAACGCGCTAAACCAACTGCGCCATGAAGACTAACTCATGTTGTTGAAGAACTGCTGCCTTATTCAGTACTATGCAGGACAGAATCCTGGTTGGTCCAACAGAACAGGCGTACAGGATCGAGGTTCATTCCATCCAAGGAATTAAAAACATTCCAGGGTTGAAATTTTGCTTTTGAGCCAGAATAATACGACCAAGAGTGCCTTTTGGCACACGCCCGCATTAGAGCTGCAATATGTGCAGAGGGCCAAACGATCCTTCAACAAGGGCAGTCTTCGCGGTCTGTATTGCAAATCTTCTAGTCCACGAGTGCTTCAAGAAGACATTCAGACAATAGTAAAGCTTTCTTACGTGGTCAAATCTAGTACATATTGCTAGTCTAGGCTTCCCCGACGCGGGAATACGGCCAAACATGCTTAACATGAGCGCTACCCGGTACCACGGTAAACCAAATCATGTTTTTTCAGGCCCGCATCATAAATTGTTCAGAAAAGTATATTGCTCGAGCACCTTCAGCAAAACGCTGCCCATTCCCACTCCCTTCCCATTCTAGTTCGCACCAACTCCAGATCAACACAGCCCTCTTGTCTATACACGTGTCCTTGAGTACATAGTAAACAAAAGAACAAATTCATAAAACAAGACCGCTTCGCTTGCAACGCCAAAAAAAAACCACACAAACACCACAAGGTACATGATCCTCTTCCCACCATTGTATTACCAGCATCTAATTATTCAATCAGTCGCGACAGGGATATCAAAATAATGCAGCCATGGTCCAACAACAACAAGACTCAGTAGTCAAACATGAACAAAGGAAATCACAAACGCCGCGTTACGCCCGCAAGACTTCCTGGTGTACAAGAGTAAGCACACCGTTAGCCTCGGCAGCATTTGAGAACTGGAAACACCACTTCTTGATGTTTCCGCCCGTTGCACCGGTTTCCGGAACCATTCCTACAACGCCGTCCCCATTCTTCACCTCTTCCCACACGCCGCATACAATACCTCGGCTCCCCATGGCTGAAAAGCAACCGCTACCCAAGACGGCATCTAGCGCAATCTTGGCTTCTTCACTATCTTTCTTTGGCAAAGTGGTTACCGTGATGCGCTTTTCGAGGCCGTGATCTGCCCTCAGCGCCTGGCGCCAGCCGGGCGGTGGTCGCCTTATCTGCAGACTGCAATTTCCATAGTCCTCCCATTTGGTCGAGGTCACCAGCAGATGAAGTCGGATCCGGATGTTGTCCGTACCCAGATGCATTGGATGATGGCTGCTTTGTGCCAGGCTGACAGAGGGCGAGCGGGGAGGAGTACCGCTGGCCGATGATGATCCCGATGTGTAAAGGCTATGCACTCCGCTTCCGGCTCGGCTTTGTCTGTCGACTGACGACTTGGCGATATTGAATGACATGTTGCCCTTCACTGTCAGGCGTTTGAGGAAACTAGACGCCGATGGCGTAGACGAAGGCGTTGTGCTAGCTCCATCGTGAGACTGCGAGGGAGCGCGGATCGAGCTTCGATAACTGTTCTTCCTACCAAACCAGCTACGTCGTCGGCTGCTCGTTTCACCGTCATTTTCAGGCGACTGCCTCTCCCCAAAGCTCTTGAATCTGGCTTCATTCTCAAGCTGAATGAATTTTTGATTGTGGAGTCGAGCTTGATGTACCGACATGTATAAGTTGTAACAATCAGGTGCAGCAAAACAACGGAATCGGAAATTCCCACCGTTGTGCGACTGATAGAGCTTGGAATGAGATTGAACAGATGAGCGAATTTCCAAGTCAACAGCGGTGCTCTGTCTAATGAGAACCACGGGAGTCAGGTCTAGAGCGAGAAGAGGAGGGTCAGTGTTGCCGTTCTCGGATGCCGTACGACAATTATATGCTTCAATCAGACCGTTCGTAACAACAACAGAGCACGGGTCGGCCACGATATCTTTCCACATTCCCTTATCGGACCATCGGGAAATGCGAGCCATGTACCGTGCAATTTGTTCGTCTGGAGCAACACTGCTCTCGCGCAAGCCGCCTTGGGAAGCTGAATTAGATGGTGTTAGGCTGCACTCGGACTCCAGTATGAGAGTACTGCTTGGCTGCGGACGGCGACGGCCTTCCTCTTTGATGCTGACACCTAGTTCGGTTTCGGGGATGTCGAGGCTCTCGATCTCGTCATCAGATGACTCTACCTCGGACTCTTCTGTCGAGTATGCCTCCGAGGTTGACGACTGGTCTGATGGCAAATACTCATGCTTCAGTGGCGATGACCCGCGACGCTTAAGTCGATCGCTACCATGGTGATCTGCTGCTGGGGGCGGTATGGCTGGGGCTGACTTGCTAATATCCCCCCCTTCGGTCTTCAGGCTCGTGCTGAGAGTTCTATGGACGGGTGGTGGAGGGGCTCCATCTTGTCTATACGGTGTCGAGTTCGGGGCCTGAGCTTGTCTCCTGGGTTGAAACAACGTAGGGTCTGGTCGCATGCTCTCCTTCAAGGGACGACCTCGGCTTTCAGGGTTTGCCCTTGCATGATAATCATCCTTCGTTGGTGTCTTATCCAAATCTTCCGGATGTCGCTGTGGCGATTGGGTGACGGAGGAAGGAGGAGTCTGTCCCGCTGTCGGAGTGCGAGCATGGTACCGCGACGGAGTAGTCGTCTTGCTCGTGCTTGTAGGCGTAGAGACAGAGACGTCTTTGGCAATTGGGGATCGAGGGGATTTTTCTGGCGATGCCTCAGTAGCGGTCCCAACCAAGGGCTCTCGCTGTCGTGTTGGTGTTCTCGGCTGGCTTTGAGGCTTTTCTTCGGCCTCGCGAGGTGCCTGCGGGCCGAACTCCAGAGGTGGTACGGGATGTAAGGGAAGGATATCGAGCCAATCGAGAATTTGGTCTTCATTGTCAGCTGTGAGGGTAAAGACCTCACGCCACGTCACTTCCTTAGTTGTGCCGCGGACCATCACAATAATGTCAAAATGACTGTCCCCTGTCCTCGCAGAAATCATTGACATACTAATGGGAGGAAAGAGAAGATAGGATTTACGGCTCCCTCCCGTCTCTCGTATCAAGACGTCCCCTCTGTCCGTGATATTTTTTTGGTTGTCTCTGTGTATAAGCTCTACCTGGCAGTCCAGTCTTTGGCCATTGGAGTGACACAAGCTGAGAGAAAAGATGTCCTTGGCGCTGACCTGGCGGCTGGGGTCAACCAGTACTGCGTGGCAGCCATCTAGCGTTCCTAGGTCTCGACATCTTGAGGTATCCGTGTTGGCGGCTTCTTCATCCACAATTCTCGCAGTCTCCTCTCTGTATCGCCGACGAGCCTTGTCTTGCAGGTTCTCAAAATCTCGGAGAAGTTCATGAGTGTCGTTGGATGCGACAATAGAATCAACGCATCTCATGAGCTTGGCGATTTGCTTTACCCGAATCAAGGGCCTTTTCAGGAGGTGCGCTACTGCCACGCGCTCTCCATCGCTATTGACAATATCCCCGTTTTCATTTCTCGGCAAAGCATCTAATAACGAATCTGCATCATCCATACCGTCCGCTGCTGGGGCTAAATTGACGACCACATCATCGAAGCCGAGTCGCCAGGCGTTGAGATAGCTATTGTACATGGGCACAACACCATTTGCCCAGTTGGCCATTTTGCGAATATCGGTCGTGGGGGCTTTCTTATGTGCACTTTTCAGCTTCTCCAACGCCACCCCCATGTTGACAACAGATTTGGAAATGCTGTCTGGCACCTTTCCAGAGGCTGAAGGGCCAAAGAGCTCCGTAGCATTGGTGCCATTGACCACGTGCGAGAGTAGTACAGGCACTACGCCGTCAACTAATGTCTTGAGCTCGCGGAGGTACAAGTTTTCGTCATCAATGAATTCTCGCAGCAACTCCTGTGGGGTGACCTCGCCCGACGCATTTCTTCTCTTACGCAGGCTGGGTCTGCAGCGATTGCTCTTGGCGGCGTTTGGGATGCTGGAGTCATCTGGTAGCGACAGCACAGATACCAAATCAGAGTGTTTTGTCAGTCTTCTCTTTAGTCCCGTTGTGGGATTCTCATCGGACTTGGATGCACCGCTGTCCTTTGTAAGAATGGTTGATTGTGTCAGAGTTGACTGAGTGACATCTGATGTCAAATCAGAGTCAATGGCGCTGGAACTATCCTCTGACAGAATTGTCGATAGTTCGTGATCCCCACTAGTAGGAGGGGGAAACCTTGGTGCAGCCAGCGTTTTCGATGAGGCGTCGGCGCCCTCTGGCGGCATGGATTTTCGTATTTGCAGAGGTTGAGGGACATCTTCGGTAAGTGAAAATTTCCGTTCGGTGCTTTGATAGCTCCTTGGTTGGACTGAGTGAGGGCTGGATTCTCCCTGGAATGCTTCTCTGAGAGCACCAAACAGCTGACGCCGGTTACTTTCTGTCTTTATTGGAGAAGAATTGCTCCTAATTGCTCGACTCCTCTTCAATCCTAATGACTGAGGCGTTATAGATGCTTTTGTCGTCTCGGAAACCGGACTTTGATGGTCGTCTTCAACTGCCATCTCCTTCTGGATATCTTTATCGGCTTTGTTGTGACTGCTCGAAGTTGATTGTTGGGATGTCCTGGTTCCATGCGATCCGCGCCGGCGCGGCTTAACGGCTTGGTCTTCTTCGGCATGCTCTTCTTTTGCTGCAGGCGACTGGGACTTTGAGTCTGCTCCTGGTCTTGCATCCACAAATGGGTCAACAGTATTGTTAAGCCATTTTTCGATGCTCGGTGGCTTATTTGGAACGACCTGCTTTGGAGGTTCGTTCATCTCATGTATGATCTTCTTGCCCTCTTCAACAACTTTCTTGAAAACTTTTGGCATGGATTTGAGGCTGGTGGTCCGGTCGACTTTGGGTCGCTTGGGACGACTCTTGGGCTGGCCTTCAATCGTCAAGTCGAGCTCACTGAAAGCTGAATGCCCGAAGGGAATATCTCCCGGGAGATCTGCAATAGATTTGTTGGCAAGACTCGAAGCCAGATCTGATGCTGTATTGTAAGCGCTGCTGAGATTGGATTGCTCTTCGCTCAAATATGAAACTTCGTCTGTGGTCTTGGATAGTTCAGAGTATTGCGTTTTTGGCTTTTGTCGCCGCGAACCCCTGCTCTTGGTAGGTGTGTCGATCACAGAACCACGGCCCTCAGTGGCTTCGTATTTACCGATTTCATCGTGGGGATGCTGACTCCCAGTTTGCTGCGAGCGATCAGATTGGTCTTGTGTGACGTCGGTTCGGCCTGATGGCGAACTTGGGCGACCGGAACCAGACGTTGTCTTGCTTCTTGACCGCGATATAGTTTTGACTCCTCCGCGAGTAGCGCTGGATCGAAATGTCTCGCTTATTGGTCGTATTCTGATGCCGTCGTCATGAACAGTAGTAGCCGCATTTGGAGACTTGATACGGGCTCCATCATCATCCAACTTTTTTGGTCTCATGGGTTTGATGCGAATGCCGTCATCATTTCTCGATTTGTGGATATGAACCCATCTTGCCGTAATGTCACTGGCGGAATCTCCGGCCTCGCTCCTGGCTCCCTCAGATCGAGCGTTCCTATCCCTTGATTTGGACGACCTGTGGCTTCTTGGCGGTGGTGGCGAATCAGGAACATCTATTTTGGCAGCCCATTCTTTTATCTTGTTTGATACCAATGGGTTTCCTCCAGACCGCTGAACAAAATCTTTTGGGAGCCCGCTGGGGCTCGGCGACGGCTTCTTGGTTGAGGGAGAAGCCCTCCGCCTGGGAGGGCTTCTGCGGGTTTTTGGCTTCCTCCAGTGTTCATCACTGACAACCCTCTTCTTCGGGGGGGAAGTAGGTTGTATATCGTCAGTCTCGGTCTGGTCGGTGCTCGAAGTAGGCGTTTGACCGTCTAAGAATGCTGGCGTCGGCTTTGGTTTTGATGCGCTTCTCTTTTTCTGCCTGAACTTGATTCGTATCCTATCAGATTCGGTCACGCTTTCCTCGTCTTCCCCCTTGAATGCAACATCTGTAGGCTCTGTTGCTGCATCGTCTGGGTCTCCCTCGGCGAGGGATGCATCATTGGCCTTTTGCCATTTTTGAACCCTCTCTCTTACGCCGCCAGGTTGCTGAAGTCTCTGTACGGAGCTTTGTCTCATACCCTGACGTAGTTCAGCCTTGACGGCTTCGAAACTCTCTCGTCGTTTACGATCTGCTGCTAGGCGAGCTGGAGATTGTTTACCACGTAGGAAATCTGTCAACAATGTGGGTTCTTTTTTGGAGTTCGCCCTGGGCCGGGTTTTTATTACGACAGCCGGAGGAGTAGAGTCAGTTCTCGCTTCTGGGCTCGATTCATCAATCGTCGGAGTTTCTGCAGTTGCATTGGTGTTCGGCCTGCTGGCCTTGGAAGGAGTGGTGGGAACCTGCGACACATCGTCGTCGTCGGGAGGTGTAGATGGTGGCATGATGGTTTAATCTAGTCGAGCTTCGTCAGCGCAGGTTTGCAGTCAATCAGAAGGCGACTGCCTTGGTTGGGCCTGCGTGCGCAATAGGCTGCATCTCGTGTTGCCAGACTTTGGGTCGCGACTTTATGCGTCGGTGAAGCCCAAACTGGAGCAAAGCTGCAACAACAAAACAGGAGGCGCATCGAGCTCAGGAAACATACCTGTAACGAGCACCATGCCTGCTGCAAAAGGCCGATGGCAAAAGAGGGAAAAAAAAATTCAATTGTACTGCCGCGTCAGCATATCAGCCGTGCGATTGCCCACGAAGCTTGCGATCGAATTGCCGTTCGTAGTCGCTCGCTCACTTGTTTATCGCGGGCTCTGGCTTCGGGTACAACGGAGAGTGGCTGGGCGACGTCACAACTGGGGCAGGAGCAGCTTGCTGGTCTTGCCGCGCAAAACACCACGCCGACCAGTTTCCAAGATGCTCGAGCCAGAATTTAAGCAAGATCTGTTTCTCTCTGCTTTCGCAAAGGACAATATGCTGCTGATCAGCACCGCAAAAACGAAAAATAGATCAGCTTGTGTGACAGGTCTCCTCAACCGACTGTCAAAACAAAGAAGTGCACCCGGAGTATTACTGACACAAAGAGTAAACTGGAGAAGTTGGCAACATGGCCTTGCACTTGAGCTGCGACCCCCATCTGCCTCTGCCTTGGTCTGCGTTGGATCTGGATGCCGCAGTAACCACTGGGGTCCGCTAGCTAGCGCCGGTGGATTTCACCAAGGACCAGCCAAAGGTAAAGTCAGACGGACTGTACCCATGTCTCTGAGACCTCATGCCTATGTTTATCCATGTGTGGCCAGCTTCCAATGCGTGCGCTGCCGCATGTAAACAATACGATCCTCAGCCGACTGCATATGGACTACGCTGACCAGACTCCTCAGTAGGATCCGCCGCTCCTCGTCGACGACCCGACCAAACTACCACGCCGCCTACCTTGACCTCCGGCAGCACTTCCATCTGAGATAGCTTGCAGCTGTGGTGGGACCAGCCCATTCACAATACAAAATACGCCTGTACAGAGTACATAACAAGCATCGGCTTCTGGGCTTCGATGACAAGGTCAACAAAAGAAGCGTTCAACGCTGCCTGAAACAGCTCCAGCCTATCATATCCGTGGGATTGGCCAGCTCCAAATGACTTCGACATCGTGCTCCCATCAGAGTCAATGCAATACTACTACACACATACAGTACATTGTACAACAAATGTACATACATATGTATGTACATATGTACATGGAATAAGCCCTGCCTTTTAAAACCCTGTCCCGGGTGCAAGCGCACAGGAGCACAATCCCTGCTCGGAGCCTTTCGCTTTTGCATAATAACTGAGGCTTCATTGAGGTTTGCTAGTGGCTCGTGGTAGAGTTTGGCGCCATCCCATTCCCAGCCGGATGGCACAGCACAGCTTCACAGGGATATCGCATGTCAAGAATTAACAGAGGGCGACCCAGTTGGGCCGGCACGCCATACGTCTAAGATTCAAAGTATCAGCGTCATGCGATATCCCGCAGTCAAAACATAAACAAAACAGCCAAGTACTAACTACCATGCTGCCGGTGGCATACAAAGCAAGCAGTCTTGGATGGAATATGAAGCATTAGAACGAAATCTGGGAGCAGCTCTTAGCCGCGAAGCCATTTCGCAATATCGTCGCAATTGTTGGAACTCAATGGAACTTGACCTAGCTCGCTTGACAAAGGAGACCACTCTTGCTATGACCAAGAATCTTCTGCTGCCAACGTTGTAGGAGACAGCGCCTTGATTGGAAGTTGATGATGCTTGCCACCCAAATTTGGTGCCTTTGGGCACTCGAGATAAATTGGCTCCTCAGTATTTACTGAAGCCCACCCCGTGGACGAGACAGTGGCCAAGAGCAGTCAATTCCAGGAGCTATAAGCGAATACTCCGTACCCCGAGCTCTGAAAGACATTCGATCGGGGTAAGAGTCAGCCATTGAGTGCATCCTGTCTCACATTATGGGCTGCCGCCGCACATGCGTCGTCTACGAAGAGCACCACCTCAGAGTCTAATGGTGTAGCACCAAAATGGTCACAAGGTGTCATCCACCGACCTCCATGTCTCCCCCGAGGCTTCGTCCATGTTGATAACCCACAGTCGTGGTTCGGCCCACGGAGATGGCGCACTCATTAGTTCGCCGAATGAGGTGTCGAGTTTGGTGAGGCTTGATCTCATGCCTGCTCCCGGAGCCGTCAAGGGCGGGCAAACCACATTCTCATGTGTTGAGAGACACCACGAATAGACGCGTATTGCAGAATCGACGGAAAATTGTCACGGCTATTGGTTCGGCGCAGGTGAGCAATCACTTGGATGGTGAGTGCTTTGCGTTTTGGTTTTCAGCCCTGTCAACATGATTTTTGACCTGTTTTGCTACATTGCAGTTTGAATGCATTCAGGACGGGCTGAGCTGAACTTCCACATCCCTTGAATGGAGCGCCTCTTTTGGCATATACGAGCTGGCTCCAATATTATTGTTCATCACATGAGGCTAGTTCTCCCGCAGCGCGGCGCCGCTGCCATTAACTTTGGCCTTGATTGTTGGACGATCCGGACCGTCCGCGCTCTGGCGTAAACAAGATTGCCGTCCAGATTGTTGGATGCCACTCACGCACTTTCCCATGTCGCTCCCCATGGTTGTCACGGCTTCTTGTGAGGGAACCGCCATGACGAACCCACAACAGCCACCACCTTGTGTACTGTACATGTACGGGAGAAGACCTGGTGCCACTCACACCAGAGATAGCCCGCCCCACAAATATTGTGCATAGCGATTAATAGATCATCTTCAACGCCATATTTCCACATACCGGACTATTACTACAACGCATGTCTAAATGCTGATGCCCGGTCAGATGGGAGGGAGACCGGCCACGCACTCGTCTCTCAGATAGCCGACCTAAGGAAGGGATGGGCATATGCTTTCCATGCTACACAAGCTACCTACCTAGGTAGGAAGTTAGTTAACCGGTTAAAACGCCGCCCACGCCGTTGGATCCGATGGAATGGCTCCTCAGTGCTCACGCTTAAACGGATGGCAAGGTCACTTGGAGTAGAGGACCGGACGGGTGGAACTTGATACGATTTCTGTTGCCTAGCTATCATGGGGCAAGGGGGGAGAAGAAGAACAACTAAAACATGAAGCAGGTGCCAGACCATGCGAGAAAGCACAAAGAGCCACCAAAGAAAAGACCAGAGCCTCCAGGAAACGCCGAGGACACCGCCTACTTATGCAAGCTGCTGCTAGCTACTAGACCAGAATTACCTGTCGTCTCCTTCCATGCCCATCACCAAATGCAAACATGATGACCCTAAAGTCAGAACGATGAGCGCCACTAATGCAATAATAATAAGCGGAAATCAGAGCGAATAAAAACGTCCACCAGCGCCATCATGATCTATGCAGCAAATGACAAAAAGAAAGCTTTGTGTAAATGAATCAAGCAATTTGCTCCCTAGGGGGGAGCAGAAAGCGAACCTTCTTCTTGGGCTTTGCAGCCTCCCCCTGTACAAGCTGATTATTCTGTGCGAGAGCGGGCGTCGTAGTTGACGGCCGATCCATGATGAGGTCCTCGGCAGTTTCTTCCTCAATGGACCACACATCCGGGCTGGGTTCACGCCAGAGCCGTCGTGCCCGGGGAGGCAGCCTACTTCCAGCCGAGTAGCTCCGGGTAAGCGCCTGACGAGGCCTGCCACGCGGCGGCGATGACGGAGCCGGGAAAGAAGCCGCGGGGGGTAAGAAGCCGTTGGGCCGCCCGAACGGCGGGCTCTTGGAGCGAAGTTTGAAGTTTTCAACGGACAGGCCTCTGAACGGCGTCAGGAACGAGGAGCTGGGAGGCGAGAAACGGATGTAGTCCTCCTCGTCGGCCTCGTCGTCTGTAGTCACGCCGTCGGAATCAAAGTCTGGCGAGGCGCTTTTGGCCCGGAGCTTGGAGAGCCCGTCGAGTGTCGAAGGGCTCACGGAACGAACAAACTCGGGTGGATTGTTGGAGTCCTCGATGCCGGCGTCGAAGAGCATGTCGTCGGCGCCATAGTCGTCCATGTCGTCGTCGTTGTCCGCGGGTGTGAGGAAGTAGGTGAGCGGGTTCTCGTCGATGTCTTCAAGAAGAGGACGAGGCTCGCTCTGTTTTGGTGGCGAGCAGGCAAGGCGCACCTGTGTAGGTGGCCAAGAGTCTCGGCGAGACCAAATGTCTGAAGAGGACATGGTGAATTTTTTTTTTCCTGCTCTTTGGAATACTTTGATGGAAACCCCGGCAGAGGTCCTATTGCTTGACAGAATGAAGAGTGAAAAGGAAGCGAAAGAAGCGACTGGAAGAACTAAATCGACTGGGAGAGTCTGGCCGGCCGAACCGGCAACAGTGATTCTCAGCAGGGCGGAATGGATCCGAACTGAGGAAGCTGCCTTGTATAAAGAAGCCTGAAGGGAAGAATAACATGGCTAGATACGAGTCAACGGGGAGAACGAAGACATATATACACACTCGAGATGCCTTGCCAGCCTCACCGGGGCGCAGGCAGACAAGAAGAGACTGGAAAGAGGCAGGATGGAAAGAAAGACATGAGCGCCGCCCCCTCCTTTCAACCGGGATTGGCGGCTTGCGTAGGACTCTCACACACACCATTCGGTGGCTAGGCGATAGTAGTTCTACTAGCTCAGTCACATCTCGACGAGACTGTGGACACGGATGGCCTTGTGAGGCGGAAGCCGGGGTGGTCAGGACTCGGGGGGAGAGAGTGTGGGTGAATCAGTCGGCGCACGTGAAGCAGCGAAAGGGAAAAACAGGATGGTTGGACCTGTTCTTCACGGGACGGAGACGAGGCTACGGAGGCCACTACGGATGGCGGCATGTAGTAGTATGTGTGGTGGCCGTGACTGCATTCCACCTCGGATGGGTGAGAGCATCATGGGAGATAGCTGGGTAGCAATGGGCCAAGGGCAGCCATCTGGTGGTGGAGTCACGGTGACGCTTTGCGTGGGCGGCGACGAGGACAAGAGCAGAGGCAGTCCTAGTCCTGTGCTGAGCGGGATGCAGGTCCGGACGATGCAGGCTGCGAGGCTGAAGACTGTGAACAGAACAGGCAGCCGAGCTGTCTGGTGCGCGATGATGGATGAAGTACGGAGTCCTGTCCAGACGTACTTGGAAAGGGACCAGCCAGTTGACATCAGCTTCGCAGGGATCAATCAAGATGCGGCGTCCGCAGCGGGAACGGAGTGGGTGTGCCCGCCCGCCACCACGACCAGGCGGGACCCATGCCAGAGTGTGGAGGCAGCGTCAACTGGACATAAGTTATAACCCCCTCGGAGCCAGACTATTATAGCAGCGCTTGGCAAGCATTCACGGGCCGGCGCTAGTTGACGATGAAGACAAGCGATTAGAAAAGGCCGCCCGTCCAGGCCATCCGTGGCACTCCGTATTGATGCCACAAACCGCCAAAACGCCCCATTGGCCCGGCCATCTGACTGCCACCCCGTGGCCAGTTTTCCAACCTGCATGACCAAGAGCCGCTGCCCTTGCAGCCGGGACATGCGCAGCAGGTCCGCACCCGCCAAATACGACAAGAGGTCATGCCGGAGCTTTTCAAATCCCATTGTGCTTCGTCTTTCCGCATGGCAGGCATGCGGGATCGGGAACGCGTATGCTGAATCGGGATCCTTGAATGGCGGCACTTGTCGGCCACGCTGCCGGGTTCACGTATGCAAGCCAAGGACGGAATATCAGATTATCAGACACCGCAGCTCCCTGTGTCTTGGCCGGAAGCCATAAGACTATTGTATTCTTTTATTCCATGTACAAAAGGCGCGTTGAATGCCTCGTTGAAGGCGTCCGGCGTCCTGCCTCTCGATAATTCCTCTTGGCGCACATGGCTTTCTAAGCACATGTACATGCTCGTCCCAACTTCCTACGATTGATAACTAGAAACACCGGCCGCGTCATATACTAGGAGGAGGGAAGGGTCGAGGGCAAATCCAAAATGGTAATTGTCGACGGCCTGCGTGTACTTCCCTCAAGAGTCTGGTGTAAGTTGATATGCAAAACAAACACGTTGGGCAAAGGGAAACTAGCAACAAGTGCCCCCAAAATGGCCGCTTCTACAAATAGGCCCGGGACTAACAAGGTTGCTGATTGCGCTTTGTAGCCTGTTAGGCACCGCCTGATGCTGGTAGCTGTTGGCCTGCACTTCAATGTTGCCAGCGATACGAGATGGCTTATCAGACAATTTTTGACGGCCCGTGATGACTCAGGGCCGGTGGAGTGCCACTTGTTACCGAAGTTTTGTATATGGGTTTAAGTGCGTATCTGGGGCGTTGGCGTTGTAAACTATAGTATAATAATCAATTAACTCCCTTTCTCCCCTGATATACGCTGTAAGTATGCACGCACTATGTTTGTGGGACGTAGAATAAGAGCCTCTGGTTTTTTAAGCCATGATACCTAGGCCAGTAGTGGCCTGTACATGTGATTGCTATATATTCGTGTAGCTTAATGCGCCTATTTATAGTGAATGCTAGCGGGTATACTTGGGCCTTGGGATTTCGATCCCCAAGACCCGTGACTGTCTCGAGTCTGCTCTAGGACGGACCAAGGCGAGGCAAGCGCGCAGTCAGCCAGCGCTCGACACACACCAGACTCTCTGTGCAGGCTTCAGCGCAAAATCGGCCATCAACGAAGCCTGGAGAACCATGGCAGCAGATTCCCCCACACCTCCCTCCCGCCGGCAAATACAACCCCGACGCCTTGGCACTCGTCACTCGTCACAACCCCCGTAGGTGACGGATCATGCCGTCACAATGGGGGCAACGCTGGCGACGAGCGAAAAGGGCCAGTGCATGAACTTGTCTCGGGGCACGCGTGAGGGCAGTCTGTTCAGCAGGGGTGGTGTCGTGCGTTGCGTGTCCTCGGGAGGCTGAGAGCCTGTCATGCATTCCTGAACGGGGCCATGTAGTACTACTAATGACGACGCTTTTTTTTTCGTCTGCGCAAGACGTGTTTCTTTTGATAAAATAAAGAAAGGGAAAAAAAGAACGCGCACGCGTACAGTGGTGCGTATTTCTCTCATCAGCATGCTTGCTAATAGGAAATGATGGTGCTTGGCTTGATACCACTTGTGCGACGCCGTTACCAAACCAGTGAGTGAACTTGTGCGCTTGCCGCGAGACAGAAGAACAAGAGTCGAAATAGGCGGATACGCCCGAAATGTATGTACGTACAAGAGGGAACCATATCCCCGGTATATTAACCCGATGCGCATCTGTGGCCGGCGGGACGGATGCCATGTTTGGTTGTTCCTTCTTTCGGGCCCATGATACCGAGGAGCATTGGTGTTGAGGACATGCCGAGAGGATGGATATTGGCATGTTTTAAAACACGACGCCCATGTAAATCGACGGCTGTTTCCCATCTTTGCCACTGTTTGCTTGTTCAAGTTTGCGAATGTAGGTTTGCTCCAACATGGCCCTCGGCAGCCGCTCACGCTGAATGTTTTCTTGGATGCGACAACTCCATCATGTCTGGTTGGATCCCCATCATATGCCGTCATGGCTGATCGGGACCTCCCACCACTAGTCCGCCAGCCGATAGAATGGCTGGTCGGTACGGATGGCGCCGCCCTTCATCGCCAAGAATTGTTGCCCAAGCTGACCTCGGCCGCGTCCCATCCGCATGTCGAGGGCAGCGCCCACCAACGATTTGTGTCGGGAGTTCTGGAAAAAATAATGATTCCGCCCTACCTGGGCCCAAGGACTGCAATTCTCAACTGCCGCTCTTGGCCTGTCCAAACATTCAACGAGACAAATGCGTAACACGAGAACCGGTTGTGGAGAGTCTTCTCGGGATGAAACGGATAGCCCATCAGACCCGACCCGTCCAGTTATTAAATACGGAGCCCGGCGCCTTCTTCAACTTGCGCGGCCGACTTTGCCATCGCCGGAACCACCTTTCGCATGTTTCCCATGTGATGACGGTAGGGTGGGAGGCCATTGCAGCCCAGACACGTCCAAAAACGAACACTGAACCGTCAACCTGAGTCAAACCGCCCTACGGCGTACACATGTACCCGGTACCGCAATTGTACGTCGACCCCTCATAAGCCTGGTGCTGCGGCTCCTCGCTCCGGTCTATGTGGACAACTGGCTTGGCCGCACGACGCCGCGAAGCTCGCTCATCTAGCCAGTTCCAACTCAGCATCGTGTCGTGCTTCCTTGCTTGCCTGCTCTTGTCCTGGTGCAGTAGCCACTTTTTCTCCGGCAACCACGCATTATTACATCGTCGCCCACATTTCGGCCCCTCTGGATCATCTACGTCGCACCACGAGGCCAAGGACGACATGGCTGAATCTCACAACTCCCAACACCAACAACATCAGCAACACCTTCGCCCGCAAAACCAGCAGGCCGTCTCTCCCGGGTCGTCGCTCAAGATGGACATCCGGACCAAGCATGCGACCATGCCCGTGCGGCTCGTCAGCTTCAATATTCGGTATGCCGCCAACGAGGATGAGCGCTCGTTGGCTGAGCAGCCCTGGAACGTGCGCTGTCCCAAGGTGTGCTCCCAGATGCGCTTCATCACTGCCGGCCACGAGAGCCCGTTCGTCTGTCTCCAGGAGAGCCTGTCTTCGCAGCTCAACGACATCCAGGCCGAACTCGGCGAGCCCTGGGCGCATATTGGTCGTGGGCGGGGAGAGGGGGAGGCGGACGGGGAGTTCTCGCCCGTCTTCTACCGGTCCGATGCCTGGGCCTGCGAGGTCAGCGAGACGCGATGGCTCAGCAAGACCCCCGAGAAGCCTTCCCGGGGCTGGGACGCGGCCCTCAACAGAATCGTCACCATTGGACTGTTCTCCCACAGGGCCAACGGTACAAAGGTTGTCGTCATGAGCACCCACTTTGATCATATTGGCGTCGAGGCTCGCAAGAATAGCGCCAAGCTTCTCATCAAGTTTGCCAACGAATGGAGTCGCGGCAAAGGCGTGCCGCCATCCGTCGTTCTCATCGGTGGCGATTTCAACAGCGAGACCGACGATGAAGCATACCGGATGATGACGGCACCTGGCTCCGGCATGTCAGACATTTCTGATCTTGTCCCCGAGCGCAGGCATTACGGAAACCATCTCACGTATACGAGCTTCGGAGAACCAAACGAACACCCCCAGCGTATTGACTTCTTGTTTATCCAGGAGCCTCGCACTGCTCATGTGGAGACGTTTGGCGTGCTTGCAAACAGCTTTGACGACCAGATTCGATTCTCGGATCATCGACCCATTGTGAGCGACTTGCAGATTCGAGTCTAAATCTAGCCATACAAAGACCCTTTGGTTCCAGCGAGCAGCTCCTTTGGAACTCCTGCCTTCCCCGCGATCAGTTCATCCATTCGTCAGAGCGGCTGTTCGGACTGATGCCCTGCACGACATGTATTTATCTCTTTGGCCTTGGGCGGTTATATTGAACAGACCTACCGAAGGCACGAGTTAGTGTTCTATTCTTTCGGACATGAACAGCACAAGTCGAGATGGCGTTTGAGAGCATTACAAACTTGCACAGCAACGACACATCAACGTCGCCCGTTGCGGAGACCATGGCGACCAAAAGTCCTAGATGCCTTGGATACGCATAAACATCGTGTCAGCCTCGACCAATAAACGCCTTTGCTTCTCGTGGTGGTAGCCTACTGTGTTTGCATTAGCACCGTCGTGTTGACCGCGATCCCGCACACCCTCCACTCAACCCCACTGCATTGTGCCCATGCACGTTCGTTCGAGATGCAGACGCGCGTCGACAACAGAAGCAAATTGTCAAAGGAGCGGTGTACGTGCGCCGGATGGCAGCCCTCGGATGTTTAAAGCGTGGCAAGTAGGATATCTTGTCCTCGAGTCCGGGTGGCCAGGTGCTGGCACATATCAACGTAAAACTAGACCATTGTGAGATAGCCACTTGCCGAGACTTGCGTTAATAGACTCATTTTCCGTCCTTCTTCTTTGTGGCCTATACAGCAGGATATGACATGCTGCTGAGCAACCGCGTTTGGGCACCGATCCGTAGCTTACTGTGTTGCAATTCATGCCTGTGTGGCCATCGGCTTGCCGCGTCTTGATCGGGCTCTGAAGTGCCGTATGGAAAATTGTTTGACTGCCATTGAGGCAGCAATATGGTTTGCCGAAACGAGGAAGCGAAAGAGCTTGTGAAAGGCGTCCCGCCTGAAAGATATATGTACAAATAAGCATCGAGGCACCTGGGGAAGGGTCCTGATATAATAAAGACTTGGATACTCGCCATGTCCTAATTTCTTGGTGCAGGGACTCATTTACATTCCCAATCACGGCTTTTACCCCTCTCGCGCAATAACTAGTTACTAGTTCAACCCGTTCCCTTGCCCACATGGCGCTGGATATCGGGTTGGTAATTGGTAATGTGTGAGACGGATGATTAGGAGCTGCCACGTCCGTCTTCGTGCTGGGCAACACAAGAAATTGACGCAGCATTGCCCATCTATAAAACCCACAAGCTGGCAAGGAAAACGAATGAATGGCATTCATCCAATTAACGACCCTGAATTGACCGAATTTGACAATCCTGCAGGGCTAGGACGACGGACAGCACGACAGGATGTTGGCAGTCCGCCCTCCTGTGCAACACTAGACTGGCAGCCCTGCGGTCAATTCATGGTAATGAAAGAGTGCCGGGATGAGGCTGGTGGCGATGGCTCGTCGTAAATTCCTCGTTGTAGGGGAGGCAAGGCATGATAAATACTTGCCGTTGAGCTATTCGGAGCCGTCAAGTTTCAGTCAAGCTCTTTGCCAAAATGAATGGTCATTACTGGGGCTACATGTGTTAAATTGTTTGATTCTGCCGAAATAAATGCTTTCCAGGGCCACAGTAGCACTTCATTCCAGCAGTACGGGTGGCTGTGACAAGTTCAAGCCTTGGTCGTGATCTGATTGCATGCAGTGTTAATGCGTATGCAAAACTCAACGAGGAGTATACGGCAGACAATACCCATAGAATCGTCGGCTGACTATATTTCCATTATGTTAGAAAATCTCCTAGGTGACGTTGCCAGAGGCGGACTGAGTTTGATATACCGCTCCTTCGGCTGGCAGCAGTGTCTAATGTCATGAATACCTTGTAATATTCTGTGCTCTGTTGTGCTTGGTAAGAGACCAAAAGTTTTGTCGCTTTATTTGCTAAAGATTGAGCATACAGCACCTGCGATACCTCTGGAGTGACCCTATCCTTCCCATGCCCTGCCGAATACCTGCACAGGAGTGAACATCTCGTAGTCCTTCCAAGTAGCCAAGCAGATTGGGTAATGGCCGAATTGACAAGAAAAACTAACGATATTAAGAACGGGTTCAATGCGGCCTCGGTTATTTCGCTCCCGGAGGGTAAAATACCACTGTAGATCAGCTGAGGTGTCTGCAGAATTACTTTTTAGAGTTGAGCCATAGTACTCGACGGCGTCGGAGGTTTGTGGGCGGGGTGGTGGAATAATTACGAACTACTTCCACGACGCAAAAGCAGACTTTATTACCTTTGGTGTGGTAGTATACAGTACCCGTGTACAATACGAATGCACCAAGAAGCAATGCAAGCAAGAATGGTGGCTCTAACTGGCCATCAAAACGATGGACTGTCCGTCATGGGAGGCCCAGTCCTATCTTGGACAATAGTCAGACAGCTCTGACTCGGAAAGGTACGGGGGTTTGACCACGGCCCTATGATGTTAATGAAGCATGGAGGGGGCTTGCATGGCCAAGTAGTCCACGATTGGGCATCGACTGATCATGGTAATAGTTCAGGTATTGTCGGCTTTTTTCTTGTTTGCCTGCGTGACAGTTTCCAATCAAAGTCCAGGAAGTGATGACCTCCGCCCTTTGACCCGGCTGCTTGCAGATATAGAATGTATATGTAAACCGCCAGAGAATTCATAGCCTGAGCTTTCAAGATTTTCGTCCTAGAACGGCGAGGCAAAATTGCTCCAAGAAGCTGCAATTAAAGTGATACCCAATCCGCCACCTGGGCAGCAGTGGGGATTCAGTTAGGCAGAAAAAGAGCCAGCTACACCCAAAAGCAAACGCTGGCAAGGCAAAGGGAAAAGCTCAACCTTGGGAAATGGGTAGGAAAAGGCCATTGTAGCAACACTGGTTTTAGCTGCCGACCTAGTGCCTAGGAATATACATAGTTTATCTGGGCTCCTGCTTGACTGGTGTGTTATGTGTATCGAGCAAGGCCGCTCGGCAGTCGGAAAAACATCAAATACAATGTGAGAGGAGATGCAGACCGATGATGAAGGAACAAAGCAAACCCCGGAAAACTGTGTGGCTTCTGTGCCAATGAGGGAGATATCCCCGCTGACTCTTGTGTAATGCGACCCCCGGTCCACGACTAGCATGAGCCTTGCAGCATCTGTACTCATCTGGCTGCCATGACCTGCACGTTTTGTAGTTCGGCACTTCGTTTGACAGCCTTGCTGAGGGAAAAATTACGCATGGTAGCGGACGTATTTGTTGAGTACACTGGTCGCAGAGAACAAAGGCTCAAAAATTTCCCAGCAAATTTTGTTGAAAAGCGGCTCTGAGAGGCAGAGCGGAGCGGCATCGAGGGAAGCGTTGCGTCGCCAGATCCACAGTTAGGCCTTCCTGCTTGGGAGTTTGAACGAATCAGATGACGGACTGCGTGTCTGGAAATAGGCAGATTAGTCTCAATGGCATGAAAAGCCATGGAGCGGGTGTCCTAACTGACCAAGATTGGAGGCTCTGCTAATGCAACTCGTAACGTTGTCTCTGGAGAGACTAGTCCCTGTACGGAGCAAGCTGATGCTAGTACTACTAGTAAGGTAGTCTCGGCGGGATGAAACCGCACGTCTTGTTAAGGGCCCATCTCCCGGGGGCCTATTTCATATGCGATGGCGACAACTCAGATGGAGTGCAATTGAGATTTGGGAAGATGGCTTGGAGTTTTGGACCGCGGGCCCGACATCTCGGCAGGCCGCACCTGCCATTTTACCAGATCCATCAGATGTGGAAGGACCAATGCAGTGACATGGAAATCACCTGGGTCTCTTGCTACGAGAGGACATGTGCGCGGTTGAAGAAGTACGTCTACAATACCAGGACCGCAAGCAAGGCATCCAATGCCTAATCTCTGCGAGAAAAGGCATCATCCTAGTCGCCGGACAATATCCTCGATTGCAGTTGGTCGACTTGCAAGCCTCGCGGGCTGCCATGCCATTTCGTCTGTGTTGGCAGTTTACTTGGACCACACCCCTGACGCCCTCGCCGTCCTCAACTGGTTTGCTCCCCCATCTTTGTCGTTCTTGGACACTTGACACAAGGAGCAAGGTTATCTTGTCCCCCGGGACGATGGCTAACATGTGAATCAGATAAAGGACATGGCTTTGTTTCCAACGGAACCGCAAGACGGACTGCCCTCTTGGCCGAGAATGATGCCTCATGCCTGGGCTGCATCAAACAAAAAGGATGTCAGCCTAGACGTATCACTACCAGCGCCACTTCCAGATTGCAAGACGGAGATGTTTATGCGCGCCATGACAGTGAGCTGGCAACATTGAGCATCAAATGCACTCCCTCTACTCCGTACCCGTCCTCTGATTCACAGTGCCACCGGCAAAAGGTGGAGTGCTCGAGTGTCCCTAAGCACACACCCCCTCTCTCAACCAGATTTGCCTGTCCAGCTTCCACCCTCCATGCTTGGGACAGTCTGTCACGACTCGAATGCGCACCAGCCGTCGCAGCACCTTTCTGATCCAGTCGGTGCCCTGGCAGTTCACCCTCTTGACGAGCGGGCGTTCCATATCGGCCTTGGGAATACGTGTGGTGTTGTGTTGGGACAGGAAGGCACTCCATTGGACTGCCCAAGGACAGGAACCAACTGAAGGCCTAATAAAAAGTCACAGCTGCCGCCAACGTCCGTCCTTGTTCACTCTGTGTCATTGCATGGCTGGCCCTATTTTCCCGACTTGCTGACATAGAAACGACACGACAGTCATCGCTCCGCGCCGTCTGCTGTCGTCTCCGTCCTTTACATGCTCACATCCTTCACTTCTCATCGACAAAAACTCATCGACGTTTTCTTTGCCCGGCCATCCAGCAAGCCTATGGGTGCTAGTGGTGCTCGCTACTGATAGCTGACGACTAGGGTCCCGACTCGACATTGGGCGCTGTTGCGCCTAATTTTTTTGCCCTTGTTCGCTGTCGCTTTTTGGCACTGGCACCTTGCGGGTCGTATCCAACGTCGGCACAGATAAAGTCACAATCAGTTTTCTGCTTGCTCATTCATCCCCTCCCCCACACACGGGACCTCCCTCGCTCCCGACTCAAGAGGGCAGCCAGACAGGACCATAAAGAGCCTAGAGCCCGTGAGGAAAAACTGCCCAGTCCCACCGTTCCAACACCCACCGCCAAAAAAGCCGACCGCAATATTCTGAGCAGAATACAGTCCAACTTCCCCCTCCCGCCCCTGCGCGGCATCCTTCCCGTACATGTCGACAGGCTGTCTTGACGTCGACACGCCTCGTCCGGGGAATACATAGACGCACCCATACTTCCTCCGAGCCCATCATGTCTTCGAGCTCAAGGAGTCACTCCCGTATAGCGCACGTCGAGGACGCGGAAGAAGACTCTGGAAGCTCCATCAATGGCATCGAAGGCACTCGCAAATATGCCGTGTCAGAGGCGTATATGAGCCCGATCAAGATACAGCCCAATTCAAGCAAATCGCGCTCCGACAAACGACTAGTTAATTCGAGATCATCATCTGCTAGCGTCAGCTTCGACGAATCTGGCGCCTTGTCAGACAAAAGGGGAAAGCCTCTGACCAGACGGACCGCCGACAGAGAGTACGGTGATCTGGAACCGAGGATTCGTGATCGAGGCCGCAGGAGAAGAGAACACCGGCTGAGGGATGAGGAGGACGAGGAGGACGAGGAGGAGCACAGACGAGCCGCCGCCGCCGCCGCCCAAGCAAAGGCAGCCAAGGCGAAGGCGGAGGAGCAAGACGCTCGGCCCCTCAGGAAACAACGCCCAAGCTCGCTCAAGTCGTCTGCCACACAACCAGTGATTCAGCAGATGTATAAGAGAGGTCATGTTGATAATCCTGCAAATTATGGCATACAGCAACCTGCTACCACGGCCAATCGCCCAAGAGCACAGACACGACCTGCGAGCTATTATGCCGGTCAGCCTATGCGACCAGCTCCTATGAGTATGGCGTGGTACCCCCCTCCACTCGCAGCACCGATTCCCGTAGGGTCGTACCCTCCCCCGCCTACTTGGCATGGACATGGACCCGGAGCTTCACCAGGTGGCTTCGCCGGGCCGCCTCTGCCATCTCCGGTTGGGCCTCCTGCCGGATATTTTGATGGAAGAGCTATGGCCGCAAATCCTCACGGTCACCTTCGTTCCCGGTTTGATACTCGCCCTTCTTCTGCCATGGGATATCACAGACCAAGCCCAGCTCCGCCTCCTCGTCCTCCGCCAAGCCTTGACTACCATGATCCGGAGGAATTTACAGGGGAGCCACCTCTCGTGTCTCGGCCAACTCGCCGGCCGCCGAGACGAGCAGAAGATGACCGTAGGAGAATGCCACCGCCCGAGCATATCCCTATTCGTCCACAGTCTGCATTGCCGCCTTCGACACCATACCGTCCACCGCCTCTGTCACACCGTCCTCCCTCGCGCCAAAGCCAGTCCAGACCTCCACCAGCTCACCGAAGATCCGTAGGATTCGCCGATCAAGCGGGCTCAGATGATGACGACTTTCTGGGCGATGATGGCCTTTTCCATGATAACTCACCCAATGCCTCGTTTGATCAACGACAGGCAGTAGCACGTCGCCTGCGGCGTGCCTCTATTGCCTACGATAACCATGACTATGACCTCGTGCCGGCTACGAGTCGAGTTCGGCGATCGTCCCTGTATGGATCCGCCCTGCCTTCTGGTGGAGTAAGTCTTGATGACAAGAAATATACTGATGCCTTAAAGTATCAGGAAGCCATCGGTGGTGCTCCGCAGATGCCGCTGACTGCTGAAATGCTGCGGAAAGCCGGGAAGCGAGGTGCAGCTGCTAGCAGCCGCTCCACTCGCAGTAGCGGCAGCCGTGACGACAGCGAGTTCAAGCGTAGCAATGCAACGGGAATCACTCGGACTTCCTTCAACAGTGACGACTTCACCATAAAGGTCTCTGGGGGCGCGCGTGTTCGTGTACCAGGCGCAGAGATAGAGTGCGAAGACGGCGGTGAGATCACATTCTCGACCCGCCCAAGTGGCTCACGGCTAGCCAGCGACAAGGCCAGCTTGATGTATTCTCAGCTTGAGGATTCTCGCAGTCGCTTGGACCACAGAACTCTACCTTATCGGCCACGGGCTCCAAGCCAGTCTGATTCTCAAAGCAGAGGCTATGCACCAAGCCATGTTGACTACGACTTTCCTGGAGGATACATTTGATAATGAACAGCTCGACTACGATGATTTACGATTTCAATGATGACGTTGACGACCCAAACAATGCAAAGACGATTTGTTTTCAACTCCACTCTTGTCCGTTTCGACTGCTTCTAGTTATTGTGTGTTGGGTAGATTTGGGACCTGTTCCCCACCCCCTTTGATTTCTTTTTTTTACTCCGAGTCAAAGCGAGCGTTGCGATTTTCTTCTGATGCTGTTCATTTCCCATGCTGCAACACGCCTGGGCACTCATCACTGGTGATTTCGATAGCTGGTCTTCGAGCAATTGGTTTTCGACATAGAAACCTGGTCGCATGCGCTATATTTCTGTGCTTATGACATTTGGCTGCCATTCTTGTGGCACCGTTAATGGCAGGCAACGAAAGCTTGATACCCAAAATCTTGGCGATGAATGAAGATTTGTTCATTTTGACTCTTTGCATCTTTCCTTCTTCCCTTTTTCCGCATTTTCGTCGTTAAGACAGACATTCCAAATGCATGGCAACTTGTATCAACAACCACGGCCGGTTTCCATCAAACTCGCAGTCGTTGCTGGAGCCGGGCCGGGCGAGACAAGGTTTCCAAAGGTCGAGCATCAGATTGTATGAGACTAGAGGCTAGACTTTGGGCACCAATGGCCGTCCACGAAGTTATCATGCCGATGGAAGCGACAACCGGTGGTCAAAATCGATGCTTGCCTAGTCATGCCTGGTTCCTTATCTCTTCTGGCTACTTGTTGCGTCATCTGTCTTTCTATGAGTTGCATAATCGTTTCTTTCTCGGGCTTGTACTATCGCATCTTCGACTTGCAGCAGCGGGAATGCTGCAGTGCGATGCAAAATATGAAACAAGCTCGAGAAAGCACTGTTATGTATTTCCCTAGCCACTCAATACCACCATAGCGATATAGACTGTATGGGCAATGGGGGTTCGCACCCTCTCACTCTCTAGGGGCCCGTTGCGCGTTTTGTTTTTGTTACAACTGGGAAGCCATCTACGATATTTTATTGTTTTTTTTTTTTTTTGTTTTTTGTACCTTCCTACTACTGTGGATTAGTTGCCACGTTGTGGCTTTTGGATAGATGTTTTTGTCAGATGGGATGGGAGGTGCAGATTGAAATTTGTTGGCAGCTAGGAAATTGGCGAAGTGCTTTGCGAAACGCAGCCTTGGGAGACATGGGCCTTTCTGGCGACATGGCCAAGCTCAATGCAGGCGAAGTAACAGGCAGAAGGCTATATAATGTGCTGGTCCAAGAGATCAAATCAAGGATGATGACCTGTTGGGTAGATGGCATACCATTTGTTGCGAGAACTTGTTTGTGGAGTGGTGGTTGCGAGTATGGACGACGGCTGGCTTGGTAGCAAAGTACCCTGTGCGATGAATATGAGTTGCTTGACCGTCCGACTGTGCTAATTCTTCCAAGGACAAGTGCCAATTATGCGTAAGTGAATACGGAGCATGGAGATGAGCAAAATGCTTGTGACAGAGACACGTGAGGTGGGGCCGTTGCCATTCAGCGGTTGCCTGGTCAGCCCAGGTCTGTTTACTTTTTGCGTCATTAGTTTTATGCTCCCCAGATGCCATCGGCAGCAAATGGAAACGCCTATTGTTTCTAGGGAAATCTATGTTAAAGAGAATTAGAGCTGGGTAGTATAGCCGCGAGGCTGAAAGAAATACAACGATATAATCTTTGAACTTATTCTGCATCATGTTCAAAAAAAAAAAAAGAAAGAAAGAAAGAAAGAAAAAAAAGAAAAATTTCTCCCACCTTGAGGTGCAGAGCCCCAACCTCTTCCAAGCTCGACGCGAGGCGTGAGGGGCCCGAGACCCCAACGCCAACCCCCAGCCACCGGTTTCTGTAGGAACAGCAGCACCATACATGTACCTAGCCGTGGTCATGAATCTGCCCCATCTCACCATTTTGCCCACTGCTCCTCGACCACACACTCAAACATCGAACAGAGGTGGATTCTTTACTTGGGCATTTTATCCCATCCACGCGCACGAAAAGCAAAGTCGACGCTATTGGAATCTAATTTTGTGACCGGATCAAGATTTACGACTCAGGCTTTGTTCGACATTCCAGACGCTCGTGCCCAGGAGGGGGGACTCTTTCTGCACGTATCGACTGGAACCACTGATCCACATACGCGGAGAGATAGATTGCATTCCTCTCCATCTTGACGGCGGACATCATGGCTCCGGTTTTGGCTGTTGTGAAGCATTCTCTGCGGAGCATCGTCAGGACGGCTGCCAGTGTCGAGGCTGCCTCTCCCGATGGTGCCTCGAGGCCGTCAGATGGCCCTCTCAGCGAGGCAGGCCGCGTGTTTGCCCGGGACGGCAAGGAGACGTCGAATCCCTCACACGGAGTGTTGGACCCTCACGACATCAACAACGTCGGGTTTTTCGTGCTCTTCGCGCTGATTGGCGTGGCGTTTGTGGTGACGGGGATATGGTTCTTCTTCTGGGCCAAGAATGGCGGGATCCATTTCAAGGAGAACGACTGGGAGGAGTACAAGTCGACGGTGCTGAGGCGCAAGGGGCCCAACGGCACGGTGCTGTCGGGGGCGACCAAGACGACGAAGCTGGGGGGCGGCAGCGTGTACAAGGACGTGGCCGACGACGACGGCACGACGGTGGTGACGGAGAGCACGGGGCTGAGCGGCGTGACGGCCGGGGCGAGCGACATCGCGGCGCGGGAGAAGCGCAAGGCCAAGCAGGACGCGAGGGAGCGCGAGCGGCGCAAGAGGCGCGGCGAGAAGCGCAGCGGCAAGCGGCACGTGGGCGAGGACGGCGTGACGGACGAGATGGCGGAGAAGGCGGCGCAGAAGGAGCTGCGCAGCTATCGTCACGAGAAGGCGGCGCGCGTCGGCGGGCTGAACAAGGAGTCGGACGGGTCGCAGTGGGACGGGTCGACCAACCCTTCGGACTCGACCGTGTCGTCGGAGCTGCTGTCCGGGCGCCAGGAGACGCCGACCAAGAAGCCGGCGCCCATCCGCAAGGTGTACTCGACGGCGGACCGGAACGCGGCGCGCGAGTCTGAGCGGATTCGCTCCGAGGCCCGGCGGCTGCGGGAGGAGAGCCGGGTCTCGCGCCGCGACTTTAGCTACAACCGGCCCGGGGCGGCGGAGAGCAATGCCAGCGAGAGCCTGCTGGAGGGGAGCGACCTGGGCAACAAGACGTACTACCACCCCATGCCGGAGTTGAGGGCGCTGAGGGAGCAGCAGCGCGAGGAGAGGAGGGCGCGGCGTGGCGGGTATCGACGGGGGCGGACTGAGGACGACGACTTGTAAGGGGCTGGGGTTTTTAATTCTTTGATTTTACAACAGATTGGCATGCGTAGCTTGGCAGAGTTTTTATTTTTTTTGTTCCCACACACTCTCAATTTGGGGGGGGGTGGATTTACAAGGCATCACGGTTGTTTGTGGCATCGAGTGTCGTCAGTCGGGAAGCTTGAGTTGATGAGGGCATGAGCAGTGCAAGGCAGTATATAGTCAATACGAAGACGGTTTGCAGAGACGCCGACATTACACTGCTTGTTTCGTTGTGGCTCTCATTGCTCCGTACCCGAGTGCCTGAAGAGCTGGGTTTGTGCGCCCACGTCTCGACGGAGGTGAAACGCGTGGCCTCAGCGGCCGCGATGTGGCTATTTCTGGTTTCAAGGGTCAACTAACTGGCTGGTCGTTGTGCGGGACGGAGGCACATGCACGTGCGAAAGGGGCAGGGCCGGCCAATGGGCAGCGGGAGTTGGATGACATCAGGCATTGTGAGTAATGCTGCCTGGCGGGTCAATCATGATAAGATTGGCGGCGGCGCCTGGCGCTACAGGGACGCTGTCGGGAGTGATCAGGGCTAGTGGTATACTTAAAAGCAAGTATAACCATCATGTACTCCTGGTGCCGTGTCTGTGTTTTTTTTTAACTCGCAGCAATTCTCTGGCGCTTGCATTCCTGCCTCCCCGTGGCCTGTGCACCAGACTTGACTGCATTGCCGTCTTGTTGGCTCTTGGAGGCCTTTGTTTATTCCAGACACGTTTGGCGCTGGCTGATGCCCGCTGCTGCCCGCTGCTGCCCCAGCGCTTCGGGACCCGCACCTTGGAGTCGGCTTGGCGATCAATATTCCCTCTTCTCGCATTCTCCCACACACTGGCTCTCTCTATCTGGTGGCGAAGATCGAGTCCGGCCAATCCGACGGCCCGGCACCAGTCCGTCACCACCACGCAGTCTTCCGTCACCACGATCCACCTCGCTCAGCTCGCTCAGTCCCCAATCCCCAATCCCCAATCCGCAGCATTCAACTTCCATCCGTATCCTAATCCGCTGGCGGTCGCTTCATCCTTTGTTCTTCGTCTCTCACCTCTCTCATTCTTCTCGACCGCCCTGGCCTTCGAGTTTCCACGCTCGACGTCTTGTCGCCTCGCCCTCTCGTCCAGTCCCTCCCTCCTTCGTCCGCACGCCGGCGAATACAGCCAGCCAGCCACAGCCATCGTCCGCCATTTGCCCGTCTCTCCTTCGAACTTGCGAGCCTCTTTTTTTTATGCTGATACCGCAATCTACCTGTGCATCTTGCGTCCCACACGCACCGACAGAGCGCTTCGTGCTTCTCCTCTCCCCGCGGCGGCCACCGCCACTGTCGTCTTGTCGCCGCCGACTTGAATCTCGCAGGCGACAGTCCTGGTGGTCGCACCATCAATACCACTCAACACCACGCCGCACTACAACTACAACTACACCATGGCCGTCAGCAGTCCCCCCACCTCTGCCTTCACCGGCGTCATCATCGGCCTCGTCTCCTCTTTCGGGTCCATCGTTCTCATCGCCCTCGTCGTCTTTGTGTTTTGGGCTTCTGGATGCGCGGGCTCGGGGCGCATTATCCTTGATCGCCTCGGCCGGCCCGGCGAGTATGATGACGAGCAGGCCTTTTTGCGTGAGGAGGCCGAGGCTTTGGAGACCATGGACGACATGACCCGCACCGAATATCTCAGAGCAAAGGGTAAGAAAGTCACATTTGCCACCTTAGTCGCGCATTATTGTAGGTCCCACGGCTGACCTGCTCATCATCTCTCTAGCATTCGTCACTGCCAATCCACCCGAGTCGCTGCATACCGACATTTCGCTTTCGCAATACCTAGCGATTCAGGAAAAGGGTGTTTCGGCCTGGGAGTTTGAGCCGGAGCTGGAGGTTGCCAACTGTTTTGTCGAGGCCCGTACGGAAATCGAGTTCTTCGACTCCGAGTGCACCGTCATGTGCAACCTGCCTGTTCCCAAGCAAAACGATGTCTACTATTGGGAAGCCAAGATTTACGAAAAGCCTGAGAATACCCTGCTCAGCATTGGAATGGCCACAAAACCCTATCCGCTGTTCCGATTGCCTGGTATGTCACTGGCCGAGCAATGTGTAAAATTGTAACCGTTTATTTGCTAACCATCCTTTGCAGGTTATCACAAGTATTCCGTGGCATACCATTCGGACGGCTCCCGCCACTACAACCAGCCCTTTAGCTCCACGCCATACGCTCCGAAACTGGTCCAAGGCGATGTTGTTGGTGTTGGATACAGGCCTAGAACCGGAGCCATCTTTTTCACGCGAAACGGCAAACGATACGAAGAGGTTGTTCACGGACTCAAGTCGCAAAACTTCTTTCCGGCTATCGGTGCCAACGGTCCGGCCATTGTACACGTCAACTTGGGCCAGTCTGGATTTGTCTTCATCGAAGCCAATGTCAAGAAATGGGGTCTGGCTCCTGTGACGGGTAGTTTGGCGCCGCCGCCGCCGTACGGGTCTGAGCAGGGAAGCATTCTGTTAGAGACGGGCACCAAGGATGGCGCCTTCTCTGGTCAAGGACTGCCGCATCGTCAATCCGTCACTGGCTCGCCGTATACAGTCACGGGTGGAAGAAGCAACTTGAATCCTAGCCACGGCCGCACACGAAGCGGCAACTTTCGAGTCCTTCCACCAACAAGCCCGGGCCCTGTGCGAAGTCCAACCGACATCTCGCTTGCGCAGCTCGTCCCCAACGATGAAGGCGGTGAGGCTAGTGGCAGCACCGGCCATCAGGAGGCATATCACGACGACAACCCGCTGCATTTGCACCTGGAAGACGCTACTAATCCTCCTCCAGACTATTCCAGCCCAACACACTCCGATTCCGGGCAGGATCGACGACGGTATAGCACCGACAGCGAGGAGAACACGCCCTTGATACGAGTAATGAACCGGGGCCGCGGAGACTCGTCTGCTACCGCGACACCCAGACTACAGAATACCCCCAGCGGACCGGTCCCAAGCTACAGTGACGCCGTCCGGGATGGTGCCGGAATCCAGCGCAGTGACAGCTCGGAATCGGACTCATCAGATGCATCATCATCCTCATGAACCCCATGCTTTTCATAGAGCAAGCAAGCAAGCAAGGAGCGGACAACACGTACGCAAGGCTTGACTGACGGGTCGACCAGATTAGCGGAAGAAGGAAAAAAAGAGTAGGAGTTGTGACGGCGAGCAGGCTATAGGAAAAACGCATTTCATATCGTAATTGCACTAAAGCAGAGGTTGGTGCTGCTGCTTTTGGCTCCTCGGCGTTTTTGTATAAGCATTGGGATCAGCACGTTGGCATTCTTTTTTGTTTTCCCTTTTTGAACCATAGGATACACAGCTTTTTCAAAGGCGGCTGGCATGTCACCAGCACGTACTGCACTGACGCATGGTCTTTTTCTTGGTTTGGTCTCTTTCTTTTTTCCTTTGCTCGTTTCTATGTTACTTGGCCCGGCATTCCTCACCTTGGGAAACGCCCTTTGGTCGGTTGGCGGGGTTCTATACTCTTTTTGCCTGGACGTTGGCTAGGGGAGTTTATGGGGTGGCTGAACCTGTGGGTGTTGACATGAGTATCATGACTTTGTTTTGTTATGTCTGGTGTCTGCCGTGCTGTTTGGACTTGGGTCGTGTAGGTAGTGGCAGTTGTGCCGGGAGGCTGTCAGAGGCTGTGTGAGGACTGTTTTGCCTAGGCTTGCGGAAACATGTCTTGCTGCATGCTATCAGGAATGAAATACCAGACTACACCTTTTTACCTTTTACCTCTTTTTCCACGTGTCCCTTTTGATCATTCATTACTTGTCTGTATGGTGATGTGTGTAGAGAAGGGGCGCTGTGTCTTCAGGCTGGACTGTGGAGTCTGTTGACGGTGGTATTTTGGCATTGTGATTTGCATACATATGTCGTCTGGCCATGACACTGCTGACATGGCTGGTCAGGCGTGGTCTGACGATGGACGTGGATGCGCTGGTCTCATCGTTTTCTTCGTGTCCTGCTCTTGCTGGTGGGTGAGTCTTGTGCCATTTATGTCTGGCATGTTGTCGATTCGGGGCCAGAGAAGTTGACCCTGCTCGACGCCAAATGCTAGCTAGGGATATGATATCTTTGGTGGGCTGTAGAGAAGACCGAGCCGAAATGGTCAACGACAATTGTAAGCTGGATATCGGGCTGTATCTTTTTTTGCCGTGGCTCGATAGTAAGATTGACGGTGGCGTTGCAAGATTCCAGATAGGGAGGGGCTGTAGGCACCTGGCTTCCGAGATGGTAAAAATATTCATCTTCTGGGTAGCTTTAATCTGATCAAGGGCCAGACCTGTTCAGTGCGGTCCGTAGCTGCTGTAGGTGATAAATTCTGCATCGTAGTGTATCCCTGTTGCTGGCTTGAGTTCCGTTAAACGGGCGTATGCTATGCCGGAGCTTTGTACCGAGATATAGTTCTTCCGTGAGGAAATATTTGGTCTTGCTGGGAATTAATACCCTGTGCTGTAGGATTGGCCGTCCTGTCAGAGGCCATAGAGAGAGAGACTGGAGAGAGAGAGAGGCAAGATGTGCACACTTGTAAGCTGGATATAGGGTATATTCGGCCATGGGACGCTATTGCTGCATTTTTTTGCTCCTTGACTCAGTGGTCATGCCCGATTACCACTGATATGTCCTTGTTGGTCATGCGGGATGTTGTAAGTCTAGGTAGGTATCATTCTATATACATCCATCTTGATAGGCTTAAATCTTGGGTATTTGCTTCATGGGGTGTCGTCCCGGTTCGATGTCTGAGCATGAGGAGCTCTAGGGACGACAAGTGTGCTTGAAAACCCCCCCTTGCAACACCGGATACCACGCGCTGACTTTCTAGCCCGTGTATCTTGTCCGTTATGTTATTTTCAAAATACGGTACGGTGGCAAGCTCTGTTCTGGAAGCGAGGTGGGTGATGACGGAAGGGATGGCTAGAGCGTGCGGAGTTGATGACGGGGACTTGAGCAGAAGGCAGGTGTTGAGAAAGCGGCACGTTTGGATGCTGGATTTGGAGGAATCAACCGAGCCAAGATGATATGTCTGTTTGCTCTATGACTCGGTGGTTAAACCCGTGATAATCGGGGCATGGTATATGCATGGTGGTCGTTGGATCGGGCGAGCTCAAACCAAGAGCTCCTGTTGTAGCCGTGCAGATACAGACGAGATGAAAATGTAACTTACTATATTATTCCTTTACAGGTGGCTCTGTCAGACTAGAAAAACTGGTAAATAGCCTGGCATTTGGACGGGCGAAGCATGATGGGCTCAACGGGAGTTTTGATCAGGGTCCATCCATCAATGGTTGGGTTCACCATGCTGGGGAAGATCGTTGTTTAGAAGGCACGGCGTATATTAGAGTCACTCATGTGATGGTTCCGAGACCGGGTTGGACAATCATGTCCCTACGGTAATCCCGGGATTCCGCCTTTGGGAATCGGCGGCTGGAATAGGATAACTCGCCTGGAGACATGTACATTGGCCGCTGGCACACGACAATCGGCTCAGCTTTGATAGTGCAGAGAGTGGCCATTCATCGAATCCTTTCTGTCCAGGGGCGTCGTCAATATCAAAGGTAGTGCGTTAGCTTGCCTGGTTTCTATAGCTCGTGTGCGAGCCCTTTGGAAAAAGGGATAGACGCCAGAAACTTGGAGTTGAAATTAAAAAATGGCACTCCCTCGTTGCCGAGGATTCAAATTTCTCTGGTCTCCCCCAGAGTCGATGGTGCTGGATACATTTGATATTCCGCGAGCTTGTCACTACCCAACACCAAGCAACCACCCAGTTAAGAAGCCTGCAGAGCCATCTTAGTCTACAGCCACCTTCAAGAAGATATAAGAAGCACTAATCGATGCAAATAGAGGGCGTTATCTTCACGAAAGTCACTATACAGCTGGATGCATCGAGTATTTGCCCACCTTTATATACCGCGGCCCCCGACGACGGTAACCTCGAGCGACTTGCGACCAAGGCAGATACGCATGAACCCCAGACTCTGTGCATTATACGTCAACCAGGTCCTCCATAGCCACTACATCCAAAAGAATACGAGGCCGCTCCCTTCAGCTGTGAGCGAGGATTATACGAGGAAAGCCACCAACGACAAATCTGTTCCTTGACCTTGGCTCTCACGACAACCCTTCGGCTGCTCCTGACCATGCGCCATTCTTGACCATGTTTGTTTTGTTATGTATATTCGACTCATACTTTTCTTCTGATCCGGACGAAGGCACGATGGTGTATTTGCCGGATCACCCCTTCCGGCCGCAGGAGCCGTCCAAAAGCCGAAATGCCGGCTATACGTTTCCAGTGCGCCCAGGAAACATGTCATTGCCAAGGTCGCCAAAAAAGGGCACCCTTATGAGCTGGAGATGGGGAATACATCGCTAGGGCGCCGGTATTGCTGAATCTCTTGTTGCTCCATGGTTCGGCGGCTAAACGCAATACCTGGCGTGACATTGATGTTGAAGCACCGCAATATCACCTTGTCCCCCCATGCGAAAGGCACACCAAGTGCCTTGCCAGCGTCTTTTCCCATGCGCTCGCTTAATTGTCGTAGCCATTTCGTCGTGTTAGTGTCAGTGAAACGGAGGCCAAGATACAAACGGGCGTTGTCTCAAGCGGCGGCCATGACCTGGCCTCGAGACCATGCCGCTCGCTGCTGATATTACAAGCACAAGACACAGCTCCGAGGATACGCACTGGCACATGATACACCTTGACGGTTAAAAGTGCAGGCATCTCAGAGCACCGGTCCACCATGTTGAAAAGGGAAAGCAGCCGAGCAAGAAAACGTTCTCATCAACGAGACCATCTCAAGCCTCGTCTGCTCCGTGCCCCTTTTTGCATCTCACTCGTCAGCCCGTTCATCAGGTCGCAGACACAGCAAGGTCCAGTTTGCCCAGCCGTCGCCCACACCAGTGAGGCTCCTGAATCAATAGCGCGGCCGACCTCGTGTTCGCCGGACCCCCTGCCCCTTCGTCGCCGTCTCCTGCTCGCGAAGCCGTAGCCCTTCACCAGCTACTGCCGGGGAGAGATTCGCGCCCCCTCTCCCCCTTTTCTCCTCAAGGCTACATTGGCATGTATCCCGGTACGGAAAAGAGCCGGTGCCCCATTGGACGTGGTGTTTGATTTTCTCCCCATCAGCCTAGGGGGTTGGGCGTGAGGAGGCCGGTCAGTGCTGTCTGTCACAGGGTCTGTGACTCTGAGGCCACAGCATCGTCACGGGGAAACGCTGATTCCACATTCCGTCCGGGGACACGGGTTGGTTCCCGTTTGTACAGAGCAAGAAGGGACTGTGTGCCTGCCAGGAACGCCCACGGCCCACGGGTACACTCCGGCATTCTTTTGGTGTTGTCAGCAAACGCCGTCCCGTACCGAGAGCCGCGGAGAGGAAGAAAACGGCAGGCGCGACCTGGTTCAACCTCGGCCTAATCAAGCAACATTGAATACACTCTGCACCGGCGAACCGCCCGATCCAGCGTCTACCATCACCATCCGCCAGCCCTACCGACAAGCGACATCTGGACGAACCAGGTTCAGCCCTCCCGACATCAGCCGAAAGGAGATGGTATACTCGTCGTTGGTCCAACGCCGCTCCCCAATTTGCCGGTACGAACAGCCCCCACCCCCAGGGCAACCAACGGCCTGGTGCCCTTTTCCCTTTCAAAAAAAGAAACCCTCGTATTCGCCCAATCCCAAGCGCTCAAGGCGCCAGACAGGCACGGGGGGTGATAAAATTAGCTCCCACAGACCCCGTTGCCCAAACCGCCTCCTCTGCCCTCTCCGTCGCTTGAAGCCATGTTAGCCGCCCTCGCCCATACCTGCCTACCTCTAAGTACCTACGGAGCACCTAAAGGCCCGTCGTCAAACGGCCCGTTTCCGAGCCACCGTTCATGTGCCATGCCCGGCGCCAGGGGGTACGCTGTGTGTACTCCGTACATGCGCCAAAAAAACGCACGAGCAAAATGAAAAACCAACGACACAACCAGGCCGACAGCCGAGCCACCACCGCACTCAGCCCTACCGAAAAGGAGCACAACTCCACCATGACACA